GATTTCCCCAATGTGTGTTCTGTCTACCTTCAGCATTTTCACTGATTTTTTTCAATGTTGGAATCTGGTTCGTTCTTTCCCACAGTAGGTTGTTGCTGATGGTGTCTGACCAGTGGGTCCTCAGTATCTTAAGTAGTCAGCAGTTAACAAGCACTTGTTTCTTGTGGGTGGTGGATTTTGTGGTTCACCAAGTTCCCACCGCATACAGTAGAACTGCCTTGACATTTGTATTGAAAATTCTGACTTAGGAGTTGGTTGATAGTTGTTTTAAGTTCCAGATATTGTTCACTCGTAGAAATGCTACCCTTGCTTTGCCAATCCTGGCCTTCATATCTGCATCACATCCATCTTGCTCATCAATGATGCTGCCGAGACATGTGTTTCAACGTCTTTCAGATATTCGGCGTGAAGTGTGATCAGGTTGGTGCATAATGTTTTGTATCGGATGATCTTGCTTTCTCCGTTGTGTATGTTGAATCCTGATGCTGCTACATTAGCCGTCTACTACTGTTGTGTGGGATAAGAAATCTGCATGATGATGATTATCTACTAAGGCACGCCGTAGGGTTGAGAGAAGCCTCCATAGTGTTATCCTGTTCACGCTGTCGAATGCTTTCTCGTAGTCAATAGAGTTGATGTAGAGTGATGAGTTCCATCCATTTGATTATTCCATAACGATCTGTAGTGTCGCAATTCGTTCGGTACAGGATAAGTGTTTACAAAATCCAGACTGTTGATCGGGAAGTCGGGTGTCTACTGAATCCTTCATAAGGTTTAACAACACACTGTTGAAGACCTTTCCTCAAACTGAGAGTAGATTGATGCCGCTTTAGTTCTCACATTTACTAAGTACTCCATTCTATGATATCTTGATAAGGTGCCCTTGTTTTCAGTCTTTAAACACTTGTTCTTCCTCCCAAATCTTGCTGAACGGTGCGTGTAACATCTTCATAGTTACTGTCAGGTCTGCATTCAGTACCTCAGCCAGAATGTTGTCTAGTTCTGTTACTTTGCCCCTATTGATTTGTCTGATGGCCATTCTGATCTTTCTCTTCAATTGTTGGTGGTCCAGCATCAATTTGGAGGTTTGTGTGTTTCTCCCTGGCCTTTCACTGATCGTTCTGGTATTCGATATTTTCCAGCAAAATTATTCTTCGTATCATGTAACTACTTCATGTCACCTTCCCTAACACATGTTTCAGCTGTCATATCTACGTCTTATTCACATCTCTAGTTATCATCTCTGATACTCTTCTTCAATTGCTTGTTTGCTTCTGTGTATTCAGCCTATGCCTTGGCTCTGTCTTATCTTGTTCAGCTGATACTGATTGCTACCTTTCTCTTCTTCTTTTCTTGAATCTTTACCAGAGTATATCCAGAGATCCGTTCTTCATAATGGTTCTTATTATAGCCCAAAATCTCATGACATGTTGAAGTCATCCCTTCTCTGATCCTTTTCCAGTTGTTCTCCATGGTAGTTCCCTCTCTATTGAGTAGATCGTGAAAGACCTGGGACTTATTGCTGACTGCTATCTCGAATTTGTTGAGTTTGCCGGTATCCTGAAGAGAGGTCGAAATTAACTTTTGTGCTGCCGTTCGACCAGTTGTTCAGTGCTCCTTCAGTTTCACTCTCATCTTGGCCACCTCCAGGTGGTGATGTGAATTTATACCAGCTCCTCTGTTTTAACGTCCTCCATGGTTCTTCTGAACCTTTTGTTGAGGCAGATGTGATAAGCTCGGTTTTTGTAGTGTGATCCGAAGAAACCTTTGTAGCTTTTTGTTTACGTTAATGTGGGAATATAGTACCACCTATATTCAGTTTAATGAAGTCATATGGGTTTGCAAATCTTTAACCAATTTAATTCCTTTCTTCTAGTCCATATTGCCTCATAATGTCTTCGTATCTATTGCTGTTCATTCCAACCTTGGCGATTAGGTATGCCATCAGAATGGTCAAGTCCTTTAATGGCCGTATCCAAACGGTTGAATTTAGCGTCATATAGAAGTTAAATTTAACGTCCTCTTTGTTATCGTTGATGAGTGCATAACAGTGAAAGACATTCATCGTAATCTCATCTTTATTTGTTTTGAAGGAGCAACTCAATGTGTATGCAAGGCACTTTCTTCTTCATGGCTAGAGTATAATAACATCTCTTCTTAAGCTAGTTCTTATTGTCCAACCTGCGTCTAATGTGTTTCCCTGATCCCAAGTATCACCAGGTTCTATCTTTTCATTTCTGCAGCAACTTGAATAGTTCTTTCGGTCCCTCATATTGTGCGAACATTCCACGTACTCGTAATTATTATTGCTGTGATTGTCAAAAGGGACATAGATCTCATGCGTTTCGAAGAAACTCGGCTTTCCTCTTGATGCGTGATAACTCTTCTAAATGAAGACTGCCAGGAAACAGTTTAAATGGTGTGAATAAATTTTCCCGGTTACCACTTTTTTTAGTGAGTTAGTTTTCTTCAGGATGACTGTGTTTACCTCAAGCTACTATTCATGAGATTTCCTAAAGGTTTTTTAATCAAAACTCCAACTAAATTAAATACATGTGGAAACTAGTTTCCGTGGTACTTTTGAATATATTAGGTAAATAACAAAGTTGAATTTTAAATGGAACTATTTTGTGAAGCGAATATGACTATAAAGTCACTCAACTTTGTGATTAAATCACTGAGATTTGTATATTAGAAAAATATTAATTTTTTTAAATTCACTTTCACTAATCGTTTCACGAGTAGTATCAATATTGTTAAACAAGAACTATTTTATGATGTTATTAAAAAAATGTTCAAATTATCATCATTAATTTTCCATTAATTTCTAAACAGCTAATGAATATTTTACTTTTTGTAGTCCGTAACGCATTAAATTCAATGTGATCCGATTAAATAACGGAAGAAAGATTCAGCTAATATTCAACATATTAGTAGTAAGAAGTATGAAAAGTCATACGCTTATCTAAAACATTATTTGAATTTGAACAAAATAATTGGTATATATTTTAAATGTGACATATACCGAACATTTAGAATACCTTATCCCTCCCTCTCTTTAAGCCAATACATCATTATCTGACTGTTGAGTCACCCTGTATTGAAATTGTACGAAACATGTAATAATCTTTTCTGAGAGAGTCAATTCAGTAAGCTTACAACTCAGCTACATAGAACCTGACTCAGAACACCATCAGATGATTCCTTATGTTAAGTGGATAGCTTATTTATTTTAATTATAAACAACCTGATATCTTTATTATTTATCAACTTAGGTTCTCCACAATGATTTTGAAAGTGACAAGCTAAACTCACATAAGAGGCTGTAAATATATTTTCTCAGCTGTAACAGACTAACAATTATTTTTCAGAAGTTTGTAAAGATAAGGCCAGAACCTGAGTTACCTGGTGTGCCACCTTCCTCTAAGGTCGAATAAACAGAGGGCATAAATGGGAAGGTATTTCAAATGGATTAGTCTTGTTTGGTTTAGTAGGAGAAGAGCTTAAATGATCTTACCATTGAGAAGTCAAGAAATCCAGTTCATGTAACTGTGTCAACAGTAATGAGACAAGGATGATATGTATCCAATTTACGACAAAACAAATAGAGATAGTAATAACCGTACTCTGATTTTATCACGATAATATTTACCCACATCTTATCGAGAATACTAGATGATCATGTCACAAGATTAGCATTCCAGGAATTACAACAGTTTCTTCTTACATTCTAAACAAATCAAGTATAATTATACAACACATTCATGTATACTGGAACAGATCCTGGAGTGCAGTTTTAAAATATTACCCAAGTCCGTTTAAATCAATGAAATCAAGCCAATTAATGAATAGTTGGCTTATAAATGTTTTCTATTACTCAAATAGTTTGCTAGATTAAACCTGGAAAGTTAAAATTTGTTACCTCAATGGTTATTTATAAGACAAGATGAATAAACAAGATGAATAAACAATGAATCAAAGGACGTTCAGTAGCAGATTGATTTTGTCCAGCAGTTATACTCATATACTCATATGCTCATACTCAGTTCAGCGATTAATAATTTTACAGCAGTCATAGATTCAAAATTATCAGGTATTATAGGACCTTAGTTATTCAGTAGTAGACTTCGTTTGCTCATGACTTTCTTTAAGTTACGGTGTAACTTAGTCGACTGTTTTGTAAATAAAACTCAATAAACCTAATGTTACACAAGATGAAAGGAACTTTTAATTATCTTAGACTTTAGCAGAAATAGTCATTGCAACCATTAATGATAACATTTTATTCATACAATAGTTAAAAGTTAATTTTGACTTGAATCGACCTACATTCAATCTTGTTTATTAAGCCTATTGTCGACCTTGATAATCAATGGTAATTAGTATACATAAAGATTGAAAAATGCTTAGCCTCAACCAAAGCAAGAAGTAACATCAAATCAATAATAAGTCACAAACTCTTGAAATGACCTCTGATGATAAGTAAGAACTTGTATACTATCTTGACGCTAGATTACTTATTGACCAAGGATAGTAATACAGACAAATTCAGTTTTAATCGAACAATTCAATAAATCTCTTCGGCTGAAACATCACTAGAAAGTCACTGGTTAGATCCAATCGTGTATAATCTCAAACTGAGAGGAGGTAGCTGTCCAATACTTCCTTGTTATTTAATACTAACCTAATCGATCATAATTCGCGATAAATGTCACGTTCTCAAATTCATCAAACAGATTACTTAATGAATAATGAATTTATTTCAAATAAATACAAGATATCTATTTATTGTTTCCGATTACATAAGTATTAAAACAAACATTGTGAAGAATCAGATTCTTTAAATGGTAAAATTTTAGAAAAAAAAGAAGTAATTATTTCTGAAATTTCTCCTTGTCATTTTTTGGTAGTTTTTTATGTTTTATTATTTCTATTCTGAGAAACTTTTCTCGTTACTCATCTTTTTGAATGATTCGTTTTGAATTTTTTTTTGTTCCTATTTATTCATTGGTTAATTCTTCATCTGGTGTTCTCCATACCAGATAAGAATAATCATGTATACGAAACATGAAACACTTATTAGCACTATGTGAATAACTACTCCAAAATGATCCTTTCACTATGACAACATGCCATGCTTTACCATAAGTAGCATCTAACCATTTTTTCATTTCAGCAGCACGATCTTTCTCATCTAATTTCTTTGATGATTCTGATAATTCAATTGCTTTATTACTAATGGCAACTTGTCTATCTAATGGAAGTTGTTCAAAGATTACAATAACATCTCGATGAAGTTTCAATGAAGCGGATTGTTGTTGTTGTGTTTTCATGGCTACCCTATATATAGACAAAGAGAAAACAATGTAAGTAGATTCTTTATATCATTTAAAAAAACAATACGTGAGGCATAGAGTTATTTGGAAACATATTCTCTAAATCGACATCTAAAATCTATAATGTTTGAGTGATGTTGAGTGATTGTCAATGGTAGTACAAAATGAGACTGATTAAATCTCATCCATAACTGTTCATTTTAAATCTAACGTTGTATTCAGTGAAATCATTGATTACATTTTATTTCAATTCCTATTAACCTATCTTAATATGTTACGTAACCTATTTTCATAGTTAATAAGTTTACGACATTTCTAAAAAACTATTGGATTACTTGATAAAACTATTTTTAGCCTCTTGATAAGAACACTAGTTCATGTTAGGAGCTTTTATGATTATTAGTGAATTACAGTTCATAATTATGAGTATCTATTGAAGTACAACTACTCTACAACAAAAAAGAATCAACTGTTTCTCAGTAGCTCGGAACATTAGTTTATCATATTAAAAGGGAAATTCGTCAGATTTTGGATTATTAAGCTTGGTATGAAGAATAATAGATAATGGTTGTAAATGTTAATTGTGGTGCAAATTCTAAAAAAACTGACAATACATCATCACTTCTTGGCTCTCTGAACTAACATCATGTATATAGTATTATGTGTATATAATTTGCAAAATGTTTAAAACCATTAGCATTAAGTTTCACTACTATTCACAATATTAAATATGAAATAACTTATTGATACTATAGTGTAAGTTTATAACTTACGCTTGTGCAGGACTCAAACCCAGTACATCACAAAAAGTCTTAAATGTTATCTTCCCTGTATTTTTCGGATCAAATAATGATTTCCATTTCTAAAAGATGATGAAAAGGTAGAAAGAAAAAAGAATTAGAAAAATCTATTAACATTCTATGTAAGATCTGAGAAACTGTTCAATAAAAATGACAATTAATGAATGACTAACGCAATATTTAGATAGACAAATTATCAACCATACATACATAAATGAATATTTATTATACCATCAAGCTTTTCGAGTAATAGCTCGATTTTTATAGTTTTAGCCTAATTTGTAACTAATTTTCATAATAATCCAATATCGACCAAATATTTATTAAAACAGAATTAACAAGTGTGCTAAAAGAATAGTTTCATCCTAATACTTAATGTAACAAAAAGCTAATTGTATCGCATTGCATCAGTGTAGTTCATTGTAAGGCAACTAAAGCTCACAATCATTTTAGACCATGATAAATGGATTGATCATGTTAGGTTGGTTCTAACATGCCCATGAATGTTTAGTCAAGACATCTTCTTTAGAGTAGTTTGTTTTTTTGATACTGATAATAATTAACAAGATTTATGACTATCAAAGTTTGTATTTCAATTGTAATATATACTGTACTGTATAGTAATGTCATGAATTAAGTTTTATTCTATTTTCCATTCATCAATAAGGTGCATCTATGATATTTAGCAATGTGATATTTATTCTGTGATTGAAAACCCACTGTAAAGTACCACGATGAAAGATATTACCATTGAACTAATTCACTGTAAAACTGCCAATTTCTAGGATGGTTGAATAATTACCATCAAGAAAAAGACAAGATTATTCTTGTATGTAACTGAACTATGCAAATAATAACTGCGAAATTGATTAGTGTATTTTCCATAGAACTACTATGATCATTTCTGTATGAAATATTGGCGTATCGACTATAAACACACTAGTGATTCTATAAGTTCAGGTTAAAAACACCCTTCTTTTTTATCGATTGTCAAATTACAATTTAAATATTTTTTTCTCACATCAAATTAAGTTAGTTTGTAGTCGTCAAGTGTCTCCGAATAAAAGCATCACACCGGTACAGAGATTCCTTAAGCCACTAAACAGTAGCAGCATAACACAAACTTATTGATTGTTTGAAAAAAAACTTACATTAAATATTATTATAAAATTTAACATAAAAATATGCAAAAAATGAATTTACAAAGCACATACTGAAACCATCATTTCATCAAGATTATTTTGAGCAACATATTTTTTCAATTCCTCTACTGTGATTGTATCCGTTCCATCTTTGTCAATGGCAAAAAACACTTGCACAAATGGTTCCATTTTTCTGTCTCTCTATTTTTTTTTGCAAAAGGCAAAAAAAAAGAAAAAATAAACATAAGAAAGTAAAACATTGCCAGTTTTTATCTTCATTAAATGTTTACAATGGTAAGTAATAATACTTTGCTTAAGCAATACTAATAATGATGATAGTATTAATCATTATCTAATTATGAAATAAATAAACAAATCCATGTTAACAAAAAAACAAAAACTTCAATAAGTAGATATGAGCATAAAGAAATCTATCAAAATATTGTTCAAATTACTTTTTAATGAATAATAATGATAATACTAATGATCAGTAACACTGATAGTTTATAGTAAGTACTTTAAATGATAGAAATTTCAATGCTTTTAATAGTAAAACGTAAATGAAAGTGTACTATAAGAATAAATCAAATATATTATATCAAACCAATCAAAACACAGTACAGACACAAATATATATAGATAGATAGATGTACATTGTTGATATAGTTAGTTGCATATGGTATGCATAGAAGAAGTACATTCTTCATACAGTCAATGCAACACAATGCCAATCAAAATAAGCATATCGACCTACAAAGCACTAAATTTATTCATTCATGTAAAATATAAATTTCATTAGATAATTGTAAAAAAAAAAACATAACAAATTGACAATCAAAAGAATTTACTAGAGAAGACTCTAAAAAATATACCTGGATAACCAATGAACTAATAATCCATGTCAACTAATATCAACTCAATTTTTCTTTGATTCTTTTTGTATACAGTGAATGCGCATATCTATGCACACACACACATCTAACATTACCAACCTATATATATATATATATATATATATATATATATATATATATATATATATATATATATATATACTTGTTCTTCTCTATATAACTAATAACATAGAAACTTATCAAATAAACTAGAAAAAAGATTACAATTGCAGTTATTTTTTAGTAGTTATGATATATATAATTTTTTCTTCTTGTTTTCATTTATTCAAATAATAATCAGTATCATCAATTTATTATTATTCAATAATGCAAATTAATAATGCTCATATTAATGGGGTAAAGATGTCATGTTGACAAAAGCATTCAATGTATTTTTTTCTTTTGAGATAACATCAGTTTAGCGCTGAACATTTTTTAATTTCAAATTCAATGTTTCAATTGAAATTAAATCTTGAATGATTGAATAATTTGCCTGAATTATAATACTAGATTAAGAACAAAATTAATTACCAATTGGAATTTCAAAAATAACTCGAATTTCAAGTTAGTAAATAGTAGTTATTATTCTATTAAAAATAATGTTGCATAATAGACTTCACTTTGTACTCCTATCAGATAATACTGTTATTAGGTAGATTGATAAATAATTACACCAAGTTACTTTTCCATCCGTCTAATGATAAGATTTCAACGCAGTAAATATTTTGAATGAAAATCAGATTAAATGAGAAAATTATTGGAATGAGTAAGTGAATTGATTATTGACTCATGGAATAGTTAGTTACTCAAACCTTCAGTCAAGTGAATTTGACACCAGAAGTTTCAAGAAACAAAAATAAAAATCGTTGGTGAATACTATAGATTCACTTAATTCATCAAACTTTTTCATTCTACTACATAATAAAATTCTTGTACTATGTATTTGCAAAAAACTTATACTATATCTATATTTGTACGAGTATACTTATAGGTTTTTTAATGTCAATGCTGGAAATAAGTACTAACAAACTGCAGTATGGAACTCGATGTTATTTTGTTAAAAATTGCTAAAATTTAGATCAAAGATTTACTGACATCACAAGTGTAATAGTGCATGATGTAATCTCAGTTAGCAGTCAATGCTTGATCAGCCTGAATCAAGAAATTCATAACACCAGATTATACAGAAATGGGTTTAAACGAAAACAATTTCTGCTCACGAGTTTTTTTAAATATATAGGGACAGGTATACACTTACATTGGTTGGACTTACTTAGGCCTTGATATACATTATGTGACTTGTCCGTTGAGATTGCAATTAACCAAAAACTGATATTCCTCGATCACTATCCATTAGAATTACTGATACCTGTTTGGAAATAAACGTGGCTGAATTTGATTGATCACTACTTTTCATAAGAATATCGAGTTTTCTCTAGAATCTATTCTCTGGTCAGCTCACTATTGTCAGTAAACAAGGTTTATAGAAATTATATTTGTAATCAACTTCAGCCCAAGAACAACTGAAAACCTATGTGCGTTAAACGGCTATTTCGGTCTAGTATAGGCACAAAAGCAGAACCATCAGGAAATAACGGATAACAGTTTGAAGATTTATTAAGGTTAAAAATGTTAACCGCTGGAGTCTGTTTTTCATGTTGATATAAAATGGTTAAGCACTTGCTGATATCTCTGAAGATTTTACGATCGATATAGGACAGGCTTGTGGAATCTCATTCCCAAGAAATATCATACTAGGTGCTTCTTGGTTCTGAAAAATGGTCTCTTTGAAGTCAAACCACCAAGTAAACTACAAATTAAACCACATCCACAAACCTTATAAACAAAAAAACGTTTGGTCAAACTAGGGTAAACTAACGTTTTCCACTCATAAAAATCAAATGAAGTATCCACTGTCTGAAGTAATCCAGAATATTGGTCTTAATCATCATTTTCTACATGTAATGAAGGATCAAACAAACATACCTCAAAGTCACGACATTCGAATTTTAATTAACCTACTTTCTGACAAACATAGTGATCAGTGAAAACGTTTTTTTCAAATCTTGATAGCCACAACATTTTACCAAACATCTTCTTGTACAAGATGGAGACAGCTGTGGTAGTAATTAGGTTGGGAACAAAACCAGGAGACAGAACAATGTAAAACAAAATCGTTGCTGACAGATGTTGCTTGCTATCATCCATCATCTTCCAACATACTCACTCCTATGTAAATTACATCTCAATCATATTATTCCGAGATGATTTCATAATCTCACCATCCAATTTTTCATATTCGCCTAGCGCAGTACGTTTAAATATCAATGTAAATGACATTCTGTAGAGCTTGCTCTTAGGTTCTTACATTTGGTATATTTAGGCAACTTTTGCTTTAAATATTTTATGAATGGTTGATCCATCATCGTACTGATTCATTGGCATTTTTATTTTTAATAAAAAAAATACTTCACATACCATTGTATTTAACATGAATACAAAAAAGACACGGCTCATTAACAAATAAAAAGCATATACTTCATTTTAAATAACTAAAATTTTTATTAACTTAACTATTACACTCAGATACTCTACACAATTATCTTTCAAGTTGGCAATCATTGACAAGGTTGTTTTTTTTTCTTTTGATTTTGAATTTAAAACTAATTTAATTGGCATGTACACATATTACTTTCAGTTGATTAAATTTAGCAACAATAACAGTTTCCTTCTTTCAATTAATAATTTTCTATGTGAGTGTAGTAAGCCAAAAAGAAAAAAAAAGATAAATTTTATTGCAAATATATCATAGTTATCTATCACTATTAGTAGTTAAAATTATTCATTTTTGAAATAAGTAGAATAAAAGATAATAGAATAATGTACTAATACTAAGTAATAAACACAAAGTTAGAAATTATATGTTAAGATATGTGGAAAGTTAAAAAGAATTTCTATGAACTATAATGCTAATGAGATGCTGCTTACAATAATATGCGGCCTAAACAATTTTATTTGTAATTATTCATTATTCTTTTTTTTTAAATATATATATGAGCATATTAACCTTCAAAATTAGCGCCACTCATTCATTTTTTTACTAGTAATAGTTTTAAACAATTTAAAATTATATACTATTTTACTTATGTTCTGTTTATGAATACTGAAGTTATTTTCATAGATAAATATTAATGGCATAGGTGATATTCATTGATATTAAGACGAAATCACAAGAAAAAAAAATCAATGCACATTAAATCAATAGTGGTTTTTCATTACAAATTGATATCAACTAGATGACTATTTAAGAACTAAAGTTTTTTCAAGATCCTTTTATTTAATTTTTGGATTTATTAGTGGTGCTCAATACTAAGTTAGTGTGAGATTTGATTTAAAGCATTTAGGTCATGTGACAAGCATGATATCACACAGCGATTGAGGCAGAATACAAATAGTTTGTGATACACGGTAATACTGAAATACAGTCATCAAAAGGTAGTTGCAACAATCATAACATGTTTGATTGCAGTTATCAGGGATTTCCATAAAGACAATGAATGTTCCCATTGAAAAAACGGACAAATCGAGTAATAATAAATACCGAGAAGTTAAAGATTGACTACTACTATATCACATTATTTATGAAAATTGTATTTCAAATCATCTTAGCGGTTGAAATTCGAATAATTTCAACGTTTCATCTAGAAAACTCGTCTGAACTTCTTTCAAATGAGAAGTTTTCACATTGCGTAAAGTTTTTAACATTTCATATCGAACTATTGTCGATGAATTCTATATTTATTGCTATTACAAAGAGTATGTAAGTCATCCTTTCATATTATTTGGAAATAGAATATAAACACTTCAGTACAGGAAAATGCAGGATAAATCAAACTAATTTTAATATAGCGACTTTTGGTCATTCCATTTACGGTGTACTTCTGTTAAGCGTTAGGTAAAGTTGAATAATGGCTAACATCAGAATCCAGAAGTCAAGTTTCCTCTTATTTGGGTCTTGTAAAATAGTTGTACCTAAATTTCAAATATAAATGTTAGCATCTGGACTCGAGACCAGCAAGAGTTTGCCTAAAGCAACGGACGAATTATCCACTAAGTTACCTGCTAATTATCAGTTATATTATTAAATACGTCGCTAGTTTCCTTATCCGCCGGCCTATGCTCCATTTGAGGTAACAGGCGTAAGTAAGTAGTTTCCTTATCATCTTGTGAACATATTTACTCGGTTTACAGTTGTGAGATTGGGACAAGTTGAAAAGATACAGATTAATGTTACATTTGCTGTACACAACAAACAACTCACATTAGAATATTATTGATTTCATCAATGTTAATATGCAGCGATTTTTGTAACAATGAAACGCACTAATAATTAGTAGAGAATTTCGTAATAATCCATGTAACCATACAAATTTGTTTTCACAACGAACCTTAAGACAGGGAAAAGAAACAAAGCGGCTGTACTTTTGTGAAAATTCAGCGAAACCGTGCAGAATTTTCTACAAATACATTACTCATGTTAGAGTACTTTTATAAACATTTGTGACGGAGAACAACTGATCATTTTTCTGCCGTTCGCTTAATAAATTCTTATCATGTTTCACACTTACAGACTGATATTAATAATGTACAATAATAGTCAATTTAAAGGCAAGTGTTTATGGATTTATGATAAGTTTATTAACTGCCGCGAAGAGTCATCACTTAAAACGGCAGGATTAAGTTTATTAACGTTTACAACTGTTGAAATGACTAGTATACAATGCAAGTTATAGGTGAAATAAAATTTCGAGAATATTAATACTGATAATAAAGACGGATTAGGTGAGGTGAAAAGAATAAAACAAGTTAGCCACTAGATGTCAAGTTAGTGATCCAAAGGTTAAGCGCTCATTGTAAGATTTAAAAGTTTCAGGTTTGATCACTAGCAGGATCAAATACTAGGACGAAATAGACGTCCAGTGTTTCATAGTGTATAATACTTGCCTAGCTTGTTAGTTATGATCTCAGTAACATTCAAAAATCTTGACAAACACCCTTTATTAGTATTAACATAATAACCAGATTAATTTTTCGACAGATCATTGTACAATACAGTGAGATCGCCATTGACTTTTTTATTTACATTTTAACAATCCATTAAATAGTAAGCAACACTTTTAATCAATTAGTCATGCGATTACACCTTTAACATAAGCTCTAACAGGGCACTAATACTACTACTGTTTCCTTCATTCTTTGTAATGGCGTTATTCATACGATTACTTTCATCAGATTGTGTTATTTTCATAGTTGAAATCATAAATTGATCTAAGCTAGAGCGCCATTAGAAACTCGGAGGCACTGGGTGACCCTCCGGTCTGAGTATGGGACTTATTAGCAGTGCGCATTCACGACCCCGTACGCGGGAATCAATCCCAGGACCTTCAGTTTCACACGTGAACGTTAGACCACTGAGTTTGCATCCAATGGTGATAATGTCTAACATCAATCTATGATGTTGAGTAATTTACACTTTCTGCCTTAGGCATATAAATATCTCCTACTCGATATGGATTCAAATACCACTGGTCATGACTTCTCACTAGTTCTCCAGGAATACCAAATTTTTTTCAAGAAGTTAGGTGCTCGAACGCTAGACGCAATGCCTTGGGTTCGATCTGTGCATGCGGAGGTCGTGGGTGTGCAGTGTCGGTGAGTTCAATACTAGGACAAAATAGCCTACCAGGTTTCTAATACTTGTCTAGCTTAGATCGATTCGTAATTTCAACCATGAGAATTATAATTCAAGCATACACTAATATATAAATCACATAATATTTTCATAGAATGGATTGTGAGTATCATATTTACTTCAGAAGAGTCTGGTTACTTACAGCTGTTTAATGGAGTTTGGAATTCTAGAGCCTAAAATAAGCATTTTTTAGAATATGAATATGGTTGATTATGTTCATTAGCTCTAGCAAGCCGAAAACGTTCAATAAATATCAATAAGATTGAGGTTATGCAAACATTCATTCATTAAATTTGCAGCAGGTATTCATTTGTACGACACTATACAACCATAGTCTAATGATAATCAAAAAAAAGAAGTGTTCCACATCAATCACGCCTTTTCCTCCCACAAAAAAAACTAAACAAAACAAAACATGTCAAACCACCACCCATCATCTATGGACTGTTTATTATTTATTATAAGACACACTTTTATTTCATAACAACATTAATATAATATTGGGTGAATAATATATCTCAAATGATACAGAATTCATCAAAGTATGTCGTCTACATTACAAAATAAATCATTACCAGTGAATAAATAACCACTGAACAAACAAACAAACAAAATAAATAAACAAGTCTAAAGTTGTTATTTAGTAATGATGGTGGCTAGAAGAATACAGAAAAAATAATAATAATAATAGACAAGATATATAATTCCAATAGATGATAAATTGCATTTTAGATGGTGTATTTTTTTTTCTCTTGTCAAACAACTGATCTATTAACTCATATTATCCATTTTAATGATAGAATAAATAAGCTGCTTCAGATAACCCATGTCTTTAAGGGTTGGTTATGCCTTTTCAATGCATCTTGTCCAATGGAATATGATTGACACAGTAAATGTTAAAGTACATGAAACAATGGATTGATTCTATTAAAATAAACACACACTGAGAAAGGTATAAATAATCAATTTTATCCATTCATAATCTTATAAGAGGAAGTGGAGAAGAAAAAAACGTTTATTAAAAAGAAAACTAAACAAGTTGGGGTTTTGTTGCTGGTAACCCCATCATCATCATGAGTTTCTTTTTTATCAATAATCAGTGACATTTGTGTAAAAATATTGATTTGAATATAAAACAAAAAAAAAGAAACAATGTGAAATAATTTAAATTAGTTTTATTTTCTTGAATATTTTTTTTTAAAAAAAACAAAACAAAACAATAGAATAATTAACAAATGAACATAGTTTAGTTTAAGTAAAAACCAATTTCTTTGGTTGCTTGTAATAAACGTGTACGTAATTCTTTCTCTGATTGATATTCTGGTAATTTTAAATAATGTACACATGTATTCACACTAGGATATGGACCACTATTAGTGATTTCTTTGCGTACAATACGTAAACGTGGATGTAGATTTTTTAAACCACCCGGTGGTAGACTAGAACAACCTGTTGTAAATTGTAAGAAAGCACGACGTTCAATTGGATTGAAATTACTTAATACATTAATTAACATTTGATATGTTGGTGATTGTTTAGTGAAACCTAAACTTGGCACTGTATACGCTAAAAGATCTTCACGTGTCCATTGTACTACTGAATCACCAGCAATTAATTGACCTAATTCAGTATTATTGAATAAAGCTAACCAACGAAGTGGTAAGACACGTTGAAAACCATCTAATAAAACAAAAAAATCGACAAAAAAGAAAAAAAAGAAAGAATAATGTTACTTTACATTAAATAGATTGTATTTTAAAATAAAAAAATATACACATATATTAACACCAACTACCTACACAGATATCAATGAATATACACTTGGTATGTTTATTCTCGACAATTACACTTTAATAGACCAGTGAGAAGACGTAATTGATCTGAAAAATGTGATATCTATTTGCACTAAACATTTCGAACAATCTGGTCACACATATTTACTTGTCAAGGCATTTTATATGAAGATTAATAAAAGGTGGTCAATTAAATAAAACAAAAGCCAGTTTTTCATTTTGCTGAGAAGAAAAAGGTTTATATCATTTAACCATTTAGAGGTGAAACAAATGGTTTAGTCTTAAGACAGAGACTAAAAGCAGCCGTAGAGAAAACATGCAACGCTGCTAAACAGATTATCATTGAAAAGACAAAAACCATGATTTCACATAGACCTAAACGTTGCTCGAATGATTACATCACATCCCATTGCATTTATCCATTGACATGTTTGTGTGGACACATATCCATAAGGAGGAGTAATCGAACTTTGCAATCAAGGGTTATGGAACATGTACGTAAGTGGCTTCAAAACCAGTTAACGTCAGATGAGCCGATTAGCGTTGAAAATACAAAACCATGTTCATCGGTCGCAAAACACATAATTGAGACAGGGCATAAGATTGACATCAAGACAGCCTTCAAAACATTGTACAGAAATGTTGAAGGACGAATTTCGAGGTTTATGGAGGCCTTAGCTATTCGAAAATTAAAAACGATTTATCATAACTTTGAATTTACCCTGGTAATCTTTAAGCCTAGGGTAATGTGACAATTTTCCTACCCTTTCATATTCATTTCATATTACGTTAATTTTCTCTCTCCTTCATTTACAATTATCACCTTATGTCTATCTGAACTTTTATTTAATTGACCTTTTATTCATCTTCATATAAAATGCCTTGACAAGTAAATATGTGTGAGGAACAGTGGACAAATGTTTCATCTCACCGCAAAGACGTCATTACTATTGATTCAAACCTTACATCATACAAAGTTTAAATTGATGATTCTTTAATTAGAATAGAAATTCTGTTCAAGACTACTTTTGTTTCAGTAAATTTTCACAAAAACTGCTTTTCATAAATAAATCATAAACAATTCTCTAAGATATATTTCAATTTATCTAAAAAGACACTATAAACAGTAGACAACCATTTAACTTCAAGATACTAAATCGTCGATCAGAACTCAATGCTATTCATTGCAATTTAAGCAAATTCATGATATCATTAGCTTTCATATTCAAAGTGTGGCTCAAAGTCGATTGTATGAATATGAACATAGTAATTGGTTAATAATAATAATAATAATAATAATAATAATAATAATAATAATAATAATAATAAAGAAAATGATAAGAAATACTACAAATTTATACCTTTGAATGCATCCAATTGTTTACGAATACCTTTATCCAAACAAAAGGCTAATGTTAATTCTAAATATTTTTCAATATTATGAATTGAAACAGGTGCAATAACAGATTGTGAATTCTCTGTTACATTTGTGTCTAATGATTCTTCTGTATAATAATGATCATTATTATTATCATTAGTTGTAATTGTTTCCCAGTGATAAACATCTTTCAGTGGAAAAGATGAAAATCCGAAAAGCTAAACAAACAAAAAAAACCAGGAAGTGCTCTTAAAACATAACTGAAAATGAAAGGACAAAGCTGATTGAAATATTCTAGAAGACAGATTTATAGTTCATAGATATTAGGTAGATAAAAGAGACAAGTGACAAAGAGTATCTTTAATCTTGAAAGAAATTGATGCTACTCATGTGGGATTTGGACTTCAGAGTATGAGACAGTACTATTGTGTTGTCATTTATTAAGTTTATATTTATGAAAAACCGAGGATTCAGTGCACTTGAGTGAAAATAATATATATACTCATATTCAACATCACACCTAAAACATCAAACGTTTAGATCGATGAAAATCAAAGAATTCCAAAGTGACAGATACGTTAGAAATTAAAACAAACTGGCATATTCAATTTATTAATTTAGGAATAAAAATACTATTATTGAATTATAGGCTCAGGTATTAACTAAGATATTAATTCGGCTCATGAAATCATTTACTGTTGGTTAAAGTCATGTTGGTAGAATTGAGATAATTCGGTTAGGGGCCAGTTAGACAATCGCAATCAGTGATTAAAAACTGTAGCCTACATGGTTCGAAATTGTTCCTAATGATGCAGATGCAATCACACTCTTCCAATGGATTTTAAATTGCAGGATTACTTGCTTCATATGGACTTTTTTTCAATGTGTATTCTCGAAATGTTCTCATCGTCATTGTTACTACATCACAAAATTACTTCGTAATTCATCTTGTGAATCTCTTCTCTTTGTGTTAGTATGGCGTAGAGACTCGAGACATTGTACATCTTTGCCAAGATCTACATTAGTGATGATTGATTGAATAAGACAATCAATAGAAATATATGGATTGGTATATGAATAGAAAAGAAATAATAGAAAAAAAACTAATCACAGACAAATCGGTCAAGGAAGACGGATTTAGTACATTCGGGTTTAATTGAAGTTTCCTATTAGTTAAAATACAAGAAGTGATTATGTTCAATTGAACAATGAAAGCTAGGAAGCATTCAATGTACAAATCTAAAGATGTTGAAATGTTGAAACGAGAAAAAAAATTCATTGCTGCATTATAACTTTATTGATTCGTTTTACATGGATATATTGTACTGTATTAATTAATAAAATCATAATTCTCATATAAATTCATTGCAACAAACAATTTAACAGGTATTTATTTTGTTCATATATAGACAGATACAACGCAGAACTTCGTACGTAAGTACATCAGTTCAGGTTGTCATATCACATCAGCACAGAGACCCAACTCTAAGTTCAAATCCAAGAGTGATAGTGATAGTAGAAGTGTTAGCAGTAATGGAGAAGATTAGGGAGAGAAGATATGATTCGATAAGTATAATTCAGTGAGATAAATTTAGAAGGAGAAAGGTGGAGATGATGAGGAATTCAGAAGGTTAGAATTAGAGAGAACACGAAGAGTGGATGCACCTGCGCCATTGCAAACGATTCTGGGCCATGTCGTTCAAGTTCCCTAACCATCGGTGACTTTATATATATATATATATATATATATATATATATATATATATATGTTTATATCTTTTTCTATCTAATCAGCAATAGATTTCACGATAACTTCGTCTTATTAACAGTAAAATAAAATATGATATTTTTATATGAACACGAAAAATAAAAGAATCAATACATCATTTTCAATAATTTACCTTGGACGATGGAAGAAACTCCATAGATAGACAAAGATCAACCAGATCACAACCAAATATTTCTACAGCTAAATCATTAATACATTCTTCATTTGCGTCTTGATTTAAAAGTTTCGATTTACGACAGTGAAATTCTACTATTTGTTTTAAAAATTGTGCACGTTCTGGATAAATCATACAAAAATCATTTAAATTTAATAAACCCGAAATCCAATGTGTTGAAGATTGTAAATTATGATTATTAATTTGACTAGTTGATTTACAACATTGGCATAATCGTTTATATTGTGGACTGATAAGAAACGAGGCTAAATTAAACTTCTCATCATCATCATCATCATCATCATCGGCGTCAGCGTCAGCATTAACATCATTAAGAGTCAATGGATTTGTAGTGAATCGATCGATTGTAGGAGAACTTGACTGACTTGTTGAGGATGAATAAGAACAACCATATAAAAGATTTTGAAAAGCACTTTCAACATCTGATAGGACAGAGAAATCTACAGTATTCATTGTTTCATTATTGGCCATTGAATTATTATTCGCAGAATGATGACACTTTCCTGAATTATGATCACTGGAAGTGGGAGTGTTGACAACACTACCATAGGCAGAAAGAAGTTTCAATAATGGTGGTGATAGAGGCAAATCAATACGACGATTATCCTGATGAATAAATCAATAATAAACACAAAATTAAAAAAAAATTCTAGTTACTACAAAAATCAATAAAATTAAATTTTACCAGGAACTAATGGCATTTAAATGAATAATTACAGACCTAAAGGGTATTGGACAATGGTATCGCTATATTGGGAGATGTAGTAGAAGTATTAGCAATAATCGAAAGGATTAAGGTTCAAAGATATGATTCACGAAGTATAATTCAGTGAGATAAATTAAGACAGCGAAAGACAGAGGCGATGAGGAATTCAGAAGACTAGAATTTGAGAGAACTCAAAGAGTGGATGCATCTGCGCCACTGCAAACGATTTTGAGCCATCTCATTCAAGGTCTCCAATCATCTCGCCGACCCCAACCAGGTAGTAGTCTACATCTAACAACATGATTCGGTTCACTTGTCAGTGATTTAATGAATTTGAGCCAGGTTTCGGTTTGGCCGCCCCTAACTTTATTCCAACCTACTCATACACCACAAAACGTCGCTCATCGAGGCAGCAGGTGGTTGGGCATACGTAACACATACGTAACAACCACCTAAACTGATGAAGTCTTACTATCTAATATATTTTCCCTTCATCCCTACCCAGTACTCGTTTCTTAACGACTGAATTGCTTACTTAGTTGTCCCAGGATATACGAGCTATATCTATAATCGAAAACTAGTAACGTACGAATATCCTCACTTCTTACTGGCTGCGTTTCACACACATACAGTAGGACGGAGTGAACTGCTGCTCGATAGACTCATCCTTTAGTTAGCAGACAGATATCTCGTCTACGTCATAAGTGACACAAGTTGGCAAAGGTCAGTCGAACCAGAATGTTCGAACTGTATTATTGTACAGAACTATAGCATTTTGCTGAGACGAATTCTGACTTTTTATTGCATTACGAAAATCATGAATATTTTATGTAGATTTCTTTACTAAAACTACATATTGAGAGTTAAGTTAATGAGGAATATGATGATCAACAGAAATGAACGGATGAGAACATAATACAACATATTACTGATAAAATAGTATATAATCATATATTGGAAGAAAAATCTATGCGGATCTTTTTGCTTTTAGTAATTACTTCCTGTATCAGTGCATTAAATTTTCTAACGATTATATTAAGATTGATAAAACAATAGAATCATTTAATAATCATCTAGCAACAAAATAACAAGAAATTCAATTTTAAAACAATACTCACCTGAAGGCACTTTGCTACCGTTATTCCCAAGATAAAGAAACGATAAAGTACCGATTCAGGAACTTGATCTCCTGGCCATGGAGCTGGAAACAGGCCACAAGGTGTGTTCACATATATATTTGCTTCATCAATATTATCTAAATCATTGTAAACTGATTGATTATGTCCAGCATTTGAGATAACATGTTGATCTATAGTAGGTGAACTAGAAACTGTAGGTAGAAGTGAATGACGTCGATTGAGTTGTTCATTAGTCGTGGTGAAATCATCCGTAACCCACATTAAACCATCACGTCGACGGAGCTCAGCAGCCAGAAGTGAATAAAATTCTAAAGTTGGACCCAAACCAGTGCCTTCTTCACCTATATATATAGTTTTTCAAATGAAATAAACAATAAACCGTTACCGACATGTCAATGTTTTTTTTTGCAAATGGAGTTTATTGCATAGTCTACACTCAACTAGAACGAAACAAGCGTATCAGTGTTATACAGTTATTGAAATTATTATTATTATTATTTACACATTTGAAATCATCAATCAGTCATTGTTAGACAACAATTAGAAACCTAGAAGTACTGGATAGCCGTTTCGTCCTGGTATGGGACTCATCAACAGCGGTCATCCACGACTACTGCACCTAGCAGGATTCGAAACCGAAACCTTCGGTCTTGCGCTCGAGCACCTGACCTCTGGACCATTGGACCGACATCCAACGGTGTTAGCATATGTAATCTCCGTAACTCTAATTGAAAAATTATTAATATTATTCATTCGAGACTGACAGCTGCTACATAAGCAGTAAGATCAATCAAAATTCGGTAGTAGCATTACATTTCGAATAAATTTTTTACAAAAAGAAAAAATTTTGACTATTTGATTGATGACTACAACAGTTGTTTTTTGTTAATTTTGTGAAAAAAAACTGATTCACTGAAAAACTGAATTCCTAAATAAGTGGAGTGAGTAATGCATCAGAAAAAAATGTAAAAATTGATCACATTTGACAAAATTCTTTACTTTGAAAAAAATACCACCCAACAATTTCAATAAAATTCAGTGTTATCAATCATTTTGACAGAGATAATTTGTGAATTGAAATATTCCGATTATTCAATACAGTATATTCTTTATATTATTACAAGCGCCAGTGAATAAAGTCGTTTCACAAGACGCCAAATGACAAATGAAACATGTGAAGTAAACGTGAATTTGTTTTTCATTTTTTTTTCAATGATGATTGAATACGAGATATATTTGAAACGAAATTGTGATGAACCGAATGTGAATAAGGAAAAAAAAACTTCCGACATATTTAAGAAGCTCAAATAAAAACAAAAAAAAAAGCACCAGTGCCACCATGTTAAAATGTTGGAAAGAATTCTTGAAACGCATAGATTTTCCACCTTATTACGCAACAACTTAGCGTATATGTTTACAGACGGCTAAGATATTCAAAGACATAGTAACACAACAAATAAATAATAGTATAATAATATGATTTACCGATAAATTGTATTTCCAATTCCGATTTACGAGATGCATGCTCTTCCATAAGTCTTGATGCCCAATGCCAAAATGTTAAATTATTTGACTGATGATGATGATGATGATGAGAGTAATTATGAGAAGATTTTACATATTTACTTGACAATTGAGTTAATAATTCATGTGGTAAACGTGGAATACGAACAAATTCTTTATGTAACCGACCAATTTGTGAAGACGATCTATCGTCTGAATTGAATCCATTGCCAACACCACCACCACCACCACCACCATTCGGAGTAGTAGTTGTACCTCCTGTTGATGTAGTTGAATGTTGATCAGTATGATTAGCATGTACTAATAAACAATTGAGTAGATCATTATTATTATTATTAGTAGGAGTAGTAGTACTGCCCCCAATACTATCTGGTAAATAAGTAGTATCACAGTTTAACGATGAAGTAATAGATGATGGTAAAGATATTCCTAAACTTGTTAGAATAGATTCAAACGATGAGATATTGTCCGAATTGATGTCAAAATTGTTAGTAGTGTGACTTTCGGTAGTTTGTAGGCTATTAGTATTATTATGAGCTGTACCATTATTAACACCGGTTAGATTTAATAAATGAGTTAAAATTGATGGGCGTAGCAATACAATATCTTCATTAGAATTGATTGATGCATTTTCATCATCTAGTGTATTACTAGTATTTTTAGCAGAGGTAGTATTGGTTGTAGTAGTATTGGTGGTATTGTTTAGGAGAGCAGAAATCAAGGAAGCATTAACAGATGGCAAGATTCGATAGGATGAACGACCACTTGTACTACCCGCACTCCCAGCACGACTATATGTGTCTGAATGCGACAAATAAGTACGTTTTTGTAGTGGACGATTCTGAAGCCAAATAGCAGCTCTGGAATGATGGTAAACAACAGAAAAAAAAAAGAAATAAACCAACCATTCAATAGTATAAAATCCGTTTTGAAAATTATTTACGAGGATTTCAGTGGTCAGGCCAAAAAGAAACTTAAAATTAGTGGAGCACTAAATTACTTATCATCATCAAAAGGTATAAAACTGACAACACACAAACGGATGTCTTATGAATTGTCTCAAGAAAACTTTACCTACTCACTTCAGTAATTAAGTAGTATTTGAAAGAAAAGGAAAAACAAATTAGTTATCGCAAATGTGACACGATAAGAAACAACATATACAGGACAATAGAAAAATATATACCACGCAAACGATTACTAACCTGGCTGGACCAAATGCACATGCTGAAAATAATTGAGAACGTGCATTGAATGAGAAAAGAATATTCAATCGTTGACTTAAACTTAAACACCAATTCGGTAAAGCACCTGATGCTAATGCTAAAGGATCATGTATTTGACGTAATAACTTATTAGTTAATCGTGTCGATATAAAATCATCCATATGTATTTCATTTTTATCAATCAATAATTGATGATCAGTATTATTAGTAGTATTTTCTAAATTGAATTCTTTCAAACCAGATAATTGATATAATAATTTGATAAGTTGTAAAATATCTTCTGGATCACTTGGTGGATAAGATTTGTTAACATCATAATGGTTTATAATAATTGGATAATTTAATTTATTCAGATCATGATTCAAAGCATCCTTGTCTTTATGATCATCACTAATTATAGGTATTTTAATACCGGATGATGTATAACTTAATGGTCGATCCAATGATGGTGTCAGTCTTAAATCATGTTTGTTCAATAAGGCTTGACCATAAATTGTTCGAATTGTTGACTAAATGTAAAAAAAAAAAATAAGAAAAAATAGGAACAAAATCCAACAACACTGTTACATAATAAAAGTTGAGAAATTTTCTTTAAAACAAAAAGGTAATTTTTGAAAGATAAAAAAGAACATTTATTTTCACATTGATCAACAAAACGAAAAGCAATATAATTTATATGGGAATGCTCATAAATTCTAATAAGATGACATTTTTTTCCCCATACCAAAATATTTGGCTAATATAAGTGTATATAAAAATTCATAAATGCAACTGGAGGTGACAACCACGAAAATAAATGAAGAAAAAGAAATAGTACACAATTATTGAAAAGTGTACTTCCAATCCGAATCAAATAAAGTTACCAAAATCTTACTGTTTACAACATGAAATTCAAAACCAGTGAATCCAATCCCCCACAACTATTCACTAATATTCTTCACTAACGCCTACTTAATTAGAATGACGCAAAAGTATATTACGATTAACTTTCGTCAGTTTTCTAGTTAAATGTCAATTGAATTTAGACAAAATTTGACAAAATTAAATAAATCACTGATGTAAATATATATATATATATATATATATATAAAAGGTTATTTAGACTAAATATCTTTTCGAATCTGATAACATATATATCAATGATTTACTACAACTGGTGAAATATTTTCGAAAGATCATTGGATCATTTTATAATCAAGTAACTTATTTCCCCATCTACTGTATGGAGCAGAAACTTGGAAAACTACAAAAGCCATCACTCACAAGATACAGGTATTTATCAAAAGGTGTTTATTCAAGATAATGTGGATCCACTGGCCAGACACCATCAGAAAAAAACTACTGTGGGATAGAGTAAATCAGATTGCAGCAGAGTAAGAGATTAGGAAGAAGCGCTGGAGGTGGATAGAACACCCAACTACATCATTAGGCAAACCCTCACTTGGGATACTCGAAACCAAATGGAACAAGGTGAACCAACGAACATGCTGGTCCGAGAATAGGAAGCAGACATGAAAAGAATAAATGGAATTCAGAAGCAAGTTAAAAGTAGAGCCCAGGAGTGCAGATTGCTGGTAGGCAGTGTAATTAAGTAAATTAACCAGCTTGAAGAGAAATACTCATTGATCGGATCAAAACTAAAGTTACAACTAAAGGAGAAGAATTCATTTTATCGAATGAAAAAAAAAAGGAGACTTACCTCATTCCAACTGTGATCATTATCATCATCATTATCATTATGGATAATGTCAGGTGTTGAAATGGTTGCCAATGTAGACGATTTGACACATTCATCATTTGTATCAGAAAATCGATAGCCTAATTGAATTAAATAACTATTCTTTGTCTTATCATTTCCATCAATTGATTTGGATAAACGATATTTACTAGAATCTTCAAGTGCTTCAAATTTCTCTGATAATTTCTTCATTATTATTGGTATTTTTTTTTAAAATCAATTTTAAAATAAAAAAAATAATTAGTATCGTTGTTTAAAAGACAAAAAAGATAATTATCGAACTATGTATGACGGTGCTATACTTCATTTATTCATTAATCCCATAGTGATAAAAATAGAAGAGGTATTAATGGTAATGAAGAAGAATAGGGTTCGAAGACATTATCCAAGAAGTATAATTAAGTGAAATAAGGTTAGAAAGACAAAGGTAGAGGTGCCCACGAATCCAGAAGATTAGAATTTCAGAGAGAACGAGAGAGCTCAAAGAATGGATGCACTTGCGCCATTGCAAACGATTTCGAGCCATGTCGTTCAAGGTCTCTAACCATTGGTGACTATCGTCTCGCGGACCCCAACCAAGTAGTCTACATCTACCAACATGACTCAGTCCACTTGTCAGTGACTTCATGGATTTCTGCCATGTTTTGGTTTGTCCTCCCCTAGCTTTCTTCCAACCTACTCCTACACCACAAAACATAGCTTGTCAAGGCAGTCGGTGGTTAGCCATACGTAACACATGTCCCAACCACCTCAACTGCTTCAATATTAAACAGGGTACCTCCTTCTGACTAAACGCGAACTACCACACATTGATGTACACTACACTACATCACTTATGAAATTAACTAGTTATATAGTGTAATCATTCCGAAATACATGGAATATAGTCTCAAAACAAGCACAATGGAAGAATAGATGTACTTTATCGATATCCTCCATTCTATATATATCATAATTAAAATATCTTCACTCAATTTAAAAATAAAAGTTTACTGACTAGAAATGCGATGTACGTAGGTATAAATTTAAAATACCTAAAATTCCGTCAGTAAACAAATGTTTGCTAAATCCGTAATATTCAGTCATTTTATTAGTTAGTCTATTTACGTATTTGTCGTGTTAATATGATATAAAAACTTGGGCTGATGTATGTATATCCCTCGCTCTTGATTGATTACGATTGACTAGTTTACATGTTACGATAATCAAAACATACATTGTACTTACTTGAATACATTTGAATAAAGTAGCATTCTTATCACGTAATGGTATTTGTATTAGATATTCAGAATTCATATAAATTCCAAGAAACAATGATAAACGTGAATAGGTATCTATAGAGTCAAGTGAATAAAGAAAATAGGATTTCTTTTAAAAAAAACAAATTAAATGCGGACAATGAAATAATCCTATCAGTAAACTTTATAAAATTGTTAATTTAGGAAAAATAATTAAATTCTAATGAGATACAGAAGAAATAGGACAAAAATATAACTGATTCATGTAAACTAGTCAGTAATTGAGGTTGGCAAAAATTTCATTTGCAAAATTTGTTCTTATTCTTAGCAGAAAACAATTTACATTCGTAGTGATATATTCGACTGGATTTCGTGCTCAGACATCAGATTTTCTAGTGATTTAATTGTTTCGGGAGAAAAAATAAATGGCAGCAAAGATTAAGTCATGCTGACAGTTGGAGAAAAGTGGTCTACTATGATAATCATGAATGATTACTAACGAGTAAGCAGATGTACTGTGGTGAACGTTTTAAGATAAACTGTATGCTACAAAAAGAAAACTAGGAATTTGATTAGCTGGAAGTAAATGCAGACAATTTTACAAGAAATTGACTGACTTAAAGTGATTGGTGATCAAGCACACTTTAACGGTTCATCTGCTTAATCATTTTCAAAATTTAACAGCAAATGGTAACTTAGTAGTGAAGGCAGTTGACTTTCATGCATTAAGTCTCAAATTCAAAACCAATTACACTTGCTTTCGTTCGAGAAACTGGTTTGTGTCACAAGCCATCACAGTGAAAAATGTCGCTCCAAGCCAAACCCCCAGTGAATAAATTAGTTTTCAGTAATGTCGTAAAACAATGTAAATTATGGATAGTGTGATTGTCTGACAGATTTCCGTGAGCAAAACAACGAAACAATGCAACTTTTGAATTTGTCAACGCTAAATATACATTTTAACAGTTTCTAAGTTTGAACAATTAAACCAATGGTTTTATAAAACAATAATAAATATCATCTTTTTTCATAGGTTCACAGGTAATTTCAAATCACTGACAATTATGGATTGCCTTATTAGAAAGATAAAATAATTGGGAATGACTATAAGATATCGGTCCAAAACACAATTGATCGTATGAAATATATTAATGATTATCGGTATTACTGATGTTGTTGAAATGAATAAGAGACGTGAATAAAAAGACTCACCTTTGTGATTTGTTGAACATTCAGGTTCATTAGAAGGAGGTCGACAAAGTACATAAGCTGTAGTCCCTGGGGCATTTGTTGAACCTGGACTAGGAATAAAAGCAGGAATTAAACCCAATGGCAAGCGAAGTACATCAGTTGCTTCGTTCCATGATAAAGGAACTACAGGAGTACTAGAATGAGATGAATTTGAGTGACTGGTAGATGTATCTTTAGATTCAGAAGAAATCACTGGACGTGGTCGATTACGACGTGTACGGCGACGAAGCTGTTGATGTGTTGATTTCCATGAGGATGGTGGAACGTGAAATCCTGAACTGTCAGATGATAAGTTTGCGTTATATGAGGCAGTTTCATCTAATTGTTGAGAAGATTGATAAGGCTCAATTAATTGTTGATTATGATCAACAGAATTTTCAGATAGCTCACTGGTACCAGTACAAGGTTCCTAAAAGAAAATGTAAAATAAACTTTGAAACTAAATCTACATTCTAAAATGTTACGAGTAAAATTAACTGTACATCATTTCAAGTCAACACATGAAGGGCAGAAATATTACCATGCAAATAAACTCTAAAACATTTATTTTATTACAGCAAACCAATAGGTCTGATAACAAACAAAGTATATTTATGTATATCTAGAGAATATTATTTTGAAAACAAAGCCTTTTTTTATAAATATATCGAAAGGGAAGTTAAGACAATCAATGCCATCTACCTAAATATATGAAATCCAAATGTATAAGAAAAAAATTATTAATAACAAGTTTCAACCTTGAGAATAAAAAGCTTTGGCAAACAGGAATTTATAAACAAAAGCTTTTTTTAAATTGTATATTAAACTGTTCATTCTACCAATATAAAGTTACTAAAATTTTATGTTAAATTCAGAAAAAGAAAATTCCCGTTTCAACTTATTGATTTATAGTATATTGAGAGTTATATGAAAAAGAACGTTAAAATACGTGACTTTCAACTAATTTAAATGAAGTTTGAATCTTATTTCTTTTAGGGTGAATTGAAGTTTTTGAAGTTGGATAGTTTAATAAAAAAAGATCTGATCAAATTCTTTTAAAACATTTTTAAAAATAATCTACGCTAGAATTCTTTTATTTGTGACTATTTTAGTTAAGCACATAATTATTGATACAAAAGAGCACCTAAATATTTATACGTCACACAAATCAATGAACTTGTATGAGCTGGGATACTACGCAGGTGTATAAATCGAAGGAGGTGGATATGGTAGCATGGTAGCTGTTGACCAGGAATAGGTCCAAATATAATTTTTTCCATCAGGATCCTGGATTCAAAGAGCACCATTAGTTCAGAAGCAGGGTTTTCAAACTACCCACTGTGGACCCTTGATGCCCTTGAACCTGGTTTAAGCGCTGGACATTCCCTATTCGTCTTCTGAAAGCTGAAGCAGTGAGTAGGACCACTCTGAGTGGTTATAAACTCGTGTCAGATGAGAGCAATTGGAGAGGGAGAGAGAACTCTCGCCACTCTCAACCGCACTAGGATATTTAGGGGCTAACAGATGTATTAATCAGTATTAATATAAAAAAATTGATTGATTTGTTTTTGAAATCATTGTAACATTTTCCATTGCGTGAATATTTATCCCGATTTATTATTCTCGTTGACTGCATAGCTTGAACTCAGTGGATAATAAGGCATTAAATTTCTAAAACCAATCTAGCCTTGTATTGTTCTTATTTTAAATTTCAAAAATTTCACAGTTGAACACTTTTCTACTTCACCATCGTAGAACCTTGATAAATCATCAACTTCATTTTTAAACATTAGTTAGTATTGTAAAACGTTCTACATAGTGAATATATGATTCATAACATAATAAGATAGATGTACATGATCGGCGAGTTAATGATCTAATTTTATAATACCATACACAAACAATATTGATAAAATAATTACATCCATACAACTTACAGTATTCATAGTTTTAATCACTGGTAAATTACTACGTGGTATCGATGTCTGAGAACGTATTACAGTTGATTCACAAATCTTATCTGATTTCATCTCTTCATCACTGTGTATTAATTGATCAACTAACATGAGAGTATTATTTTTATGATTACGATTTTGAATTGATTGAGAATGTTTCCATGAATGTGATGATGATGATGATGGTGATAATTTATCAATAGTTAAATCAATCACATTATCATTATCAGTATTTTGTCTATTTTGAACAGTGTTACTACGAATGATCGCTTCAACGGTATCGGCAAACTCCAATGCTTCTGGTTCAATAGTATTGAGTAGATAACCTGAACCAGGTTCCTGTTCCTGATAGAGAAGATGGGGCAGACATGGGAACAACAACAACAACATGTAATAATCAATTAATGGAACTGATTCAAAGATATTTCTAGTTTTGTTAAAACAGCATGTATTGGAAAACAAGTAACAATCATAATTTGAAAGTTGCTACAGTTTTATACTGGTAACACAGTTAACCGTTAGTCAGAATGAATTTGGCTACCACTTTGTGGAATAACATTGAAAAATACTGCTAATAGAATTAAACACATAATATTGTCCAAAATGGTAATACAGTACTACAGAATGAAACAACGACAGAAAGAACCACATAAGATACAAACTTATTTCACAATTTCCAAAGAATAGAACCATTTATTGATTTTTATAAACAGTTCTTACATCAAATTCACCAGACGCTTCTGTAATACTCTGGTCAATATAACAAATACGAGGCTCTGTAATATCAGTTTCTCCAGTATCCAGAAAAATCGGATCCATTCTTTGTGCCTCCTCTGATTGATAATCAGTCACCATCACTTTCGAATGATGATGTTCGCCTTCTGTAGAATGTATACTATCCATACTACGTGATGTACAGTTATTCAATAAATCATATTCCACTGAATTAAAAAAAAGAGAAATACGTGATAATAAATTTGTAATGGACGTATATATATATATATGAATCGTAGTAAAAAAAATATCATGAATTACTACCCCTTTTCTTATCAGATAAGTCTTCTGTTCATCCGTGGAACGCTTCTACGAAGAAAATACGATTTGTGAAAAATAAACATTATTATACTCGTTTTGTTTAACTGTACCAGAAACACTTCTTCTACTTCTTGCACGCAACGTCCTTTTCGCGTTGCTGCCATTTTTCCAAATACCCTGCTCCCGATGTAATGCCTACCGTCTCCTTCAATAAAATCTTGGTACACGCATTTATTTTGATTTAAGTGACGAGACCGTATGGAATATTTAGTGGTGATCATAGTCAATCTGGTATCTTGACTCGTTCACTAAAAAAACTTTAATGATAGTTATTACAGAGAAATACTGACTGATTAGTAAATCAATATGTTTCAACTTCACTGCTTTCTTTTGTTAACACAAAATAAATTAACAACTCACTATCCTGTGATGCAATACGACGTAGAAGTCGACATAATTCTGGCGATGATTTATCATTAGCAAGAAGATTCCTGAAGCATCGTAATAATTTATCATCAATCTAAAAATATTTTTTTTTTTAAAAAAAGAAACAATTCAATATAATAAAGCAAATTCGAAACTCGATAATGTTTTAAAACATAATATAAAAAAATGATCAAGCTAAAACAAAATTTTTGTGATTTACACGAACATGTTAATAGGAAAATTGATTGATGCCATTTTAGTTCGAAAAACAATTTTACATCATTGTCCTGAACATAAGATCACATTGATTCAGAAAAAGACAACGCTATACACTTGGAATAGAATCGATAATCAAGTGTTTACAACGAGGAATTATGTTAGTTAAGAAACAGAAGTGGTTTACAAATTCCTATTAGCCTGATATCATATGTGCACGGTAAACAAACAGATAATGAAAAAAACGACATGGATATGGTGCTATAGAGAGATAATATCTAATAGTTTAGTTAATATGCTCCGGTCACCTGAAAGCATAGCGTAAATATTGTCAAATCATTTAGGCTACTGTGAACAACTAACTTAATCGACAAGATTTAGTCCAAAATTACAAAAATAAAATAAAAATGATACTGATCATCACACAATGACCAATTAGCATAAGTATCACAATGAGTTACTACTGATCCAATAATCAATGATAAAGATGAGAACATGGAAATCAGAACTGCATTGATCTAACAGTAAAAAAAATTATAAACTAACAAACTTAACACAAACCTGATGAGTGCAGAAAGAAAAATCAAGCAAATCAATTAGATTCCGAGTCAGTAGTCCAGTAGTTAGGAGTTCGCGCACAATATCGAAGTTCCTGGGTCCGAATCCTGCGGCGTGCAGGAGTCGTGGATGCGCACTGCCACTGATGAGTCCCATACCAAGATGAAATGGCCCTCCAGTGCTTCCAAGTTTCTAATGGTGGTCTAACATTGATCAATTCATGGTTTCAACCCCGTAATGCAAATCAATTAAGCCACATGAACATTTACAAAGTCAGAGAGAAAGAGAGAGAGAGAAACAATAAAAAGAAAACAACAAAACTTACTGTTCCATTGGATAAAATATTTAAATGATCTAATTTTTTAGCAGATAATTCTAAAATCATATCCACTTCGGATTTATTCGCACTAGTCATTGTATTATCATCAGAACCAGCTTCTTCATCGAAGAAAATATTCATTAAACTTTGATTTGATTCATTAGTTAAAAATTTTTCAGTCATATTTTTAACATCACCATCATCAATCTCCTCATTTTCAACATCATCATCATTATCATCATCATCATCTCCATCATCATCCTCATTGTTATCATCAACAACAGCAACAGTGTTATTTGCAAGATCATCATCATCTTGTACACCAATATCTTTATCATGTTCTTCGTTGTCTTCTTCCTCCGGATGTTGCTCCGCCTTTTCTTTGACACTATCATCTATACGATTCTTTCGTTGTGATGATGATGATGATGATGATGAAGATGACAATGATGATAGTAAAGCAGTAATAGGATGACAACGAATCGCTTCATCAACATGATCATCATCATCATCATCATCCTCATCATTGATTTGTTTAAGTGTAATATTTAAATTAGATGATTTCGATGATGAGATATGTTCTTCATTTATTTTTTCAATATTACTTTGAATCAGTGTATTGTTATTCATATCATCAACATCAGTATTGATATCGTTCGGATCAATTTGATTGGTTTGATTATTTGCAGACAGTTTTATATTTACTGTTAATGATGGTGATTGTGATGTTGTTGTCGTTGTTGTTGTTGTTATCATTTCATACGGTGGAGAAATATCTTTTCTTTCCGATGAAATTGAATAGATTTTCTGTGCTAGAACACTAGGAGTTAATACCTAAAAGATATACATTATAAATATATCATTATTATCATTTACTTGACAGTCATTATTTTAAATATCAACCATTATTTAGACATATATTTATGTGCTTGATTTTGGACTGCACAGAGGTACATGAAGTGGGCTGTCGATCAGGAATAACGTTACATCAATCGTAGAGTTATAGCCCTAAGAACAAATTTTTCGCAGCTTTCCGATCGCGTTCTTTTAACCCGTCATCCAATAAGATTGCCATTTCTAAAAGCGATCTTGCTGGTTTATTTTTGATTACAAAAAAAACCAATAATTTGTGAGATGACAAGCAGTTTGGTAACAATTAGCTCGAGTAAACTCACTCTATTACTACTTCATATCTGAATGTGATCACAGTCAGAGAAAATTCATTTTTAAGTCGTCAGTTTTAATGTCAAGGTTTCCGTCACCGAAGACGTTAAAGAATACGGTAACAGAGTCCTAGAGAGCAATGTCATATCACTTTGTCACTCTTGATGCCCAGTTCTATCGGAATCAGGAGACGTAAGTGGATTATTTATATTGCAGAAGTGGTCCGAAAGCTGCCAGGAGAAATCCCAATCATTCCGAAAAAAGGATGTAAGTGTAATAATTTTATAAGGTCACTTTGTCTATAACTTCATAAAAATGCAGTTTTTTAGTATTCATATTTTCCAAGGAGATAGATATATAGTAGACTGTAATTCATGAGAATGTGAACCAGAAGGAATGCTATTCACTGAAATAGAGCAATAGTATACGCATGCGGAGGCTAATGAAATAAGAGTTCAAATCCGTTAGTCTAATACCATAATTAGGCACTGCCGCATTCACCGTGGTGTATTATGTATACTTAATATTTTAAAAGAACCTGTATCCAAAAAATGTGTTCAACTTGAGGCCTAAAACATTTTCTCAGGCTAATCTCCAAAGTAATTCATGTCTGTATGTTTATGAATAAAATGCAGTTTAGAAATCGTAAAATGTCGCTCGGTGGGTGCTGTGAAAATAAACTTAATGAAGATTATGAAATCTTGTATTAATTTCGGTTTAAATGGAACTTATAAAACGAACAATTAAAACTTATTTCTTTACCAAATTCTTGTATTCGACATAAATTTCATGGCATTACTAATTTGCTCTGACAATGTTCGTAGAAAAATCCTCTGCTATGACCAGTCAGTTCTTGCGTTCCCTCAAACGAGCAGAAGTCTTGCAGGGATTGTGATAGAGGATTCGCAGGTATCGCTTCCGCAATCATGGCAGTATACCCAGATTTAAATCACTTATTGTGATATTTGCACATAACTTTCCTATATAACATCACGTATTGGTCTTAGACATGTTATCAACAACCCTATCGTCTTTTTTTCAGTGACTGTCTAGCTGGGATCACTGAGTAGTCTACGCAAATAATAATTCGAGATTAATACAAGCAGTATAACTTAGCATTCACACAAGAAACACGCAGCTCAATAATATTAAACTTTTTGTCAACTACGTACAAACTTTTATACAAGCGAGGAATATTCCTAACCGTAGACAAGATATATCGAGTAAAATTTAAAAACTCATAAAAGTGTTTCATTAATTACACTCAAACAATTAAACAACTTTGAGACTGAACTCACCGAATCATGCACAGAATAAACATTACCATAAAATTCTAAACCGCCAAGTGCTAACTGCTTGCCACCATTTGCATTTGTTCCGGTTGTTTGAATTTTAAAAAAGCGCCAACCTTTTACAGATTTTTTAGTATATGTTGTGTCAAATATTGAAGAACCATTTTTAGCAGTATCATCATTACAATTATTATTGTGTGAATTTATACTCCATGTAGCACGACTACCCGAAACTGATTGAATACTTGAATCGTTATTATGTTCACGTAAAACAATCCAAGTTACTGCATCATTAGAAGCCTAGTAGTTTAATGCATTGAAAAATTAAATGATAATTTATCAACTTAAAAATATTGATATAAATAAAAAGCTTTATGCATAACACAAGTTTTAGCGATTCGGCAGTTCAAGTTTGAACATTGTGTGAACAAAATAAGTATGTGTAAAATCTATCGTCCTTCCATAGTCCTAACATTCCTTTCAAATCCTCACAAATCATTTATTACTACCCTCTTCAAAAATCCTATACTTACAATTCAGTTAATATCAATGCAATAAGTTATGAATTTGTCTTATATATCCACTAAATCATTATAGGTACGATTGTATAGCTTCGGGAATTAATATCATCAGATATAAAAATTTTCTCAGTGTATTGCCTTTGTCTTTAACTAAATAATTTTTTTATAGCATAGATTGTCATTGGTAATAAAATACCTGGAGTGTATTTTATCAATAATGAAACTAGTCGAATTGGTTATTCGTACTCGGACTCGAACCCAATACTTTAAGTTTCTATCGTTTAACGCATTATCCACTAGGCTGCTCAGTTCAAATGGATACGAGTGATGCATACAATGATGTGTGTAACTTGGATTCTACTGCTAGCTACAATCTATCTATCGTAACAAATTTGTGACAAAATAAATATATATATCAAAGCAATTATCACAATGCGCAAATTGATAACAACAAATGATCAGGATTCATTCAGGAAAATCAACAATAGGATAATTCAAGTTCATAAATATTAATGACCTAAGCAGATTTATTTATCGGCGCTGGAGGTTGCAGAACACTGGATTTTACGTTGGATATTTTTTTTTACTTTGAGGACTCTAAGTGAGGGCTTGTCTAGTGACACAGCTGGTTGCTTTCCTCAATGTGCGTCCTATCCACCTTCAGCGCTTCTTCCTGATTTCCCCCTCCATTGCAATTGGTTTGTTCTCTTCCACATTAGGTTGCTGCCGATGGTGTCTCGCCAGTGGATCCTCAGTATTTTGTGTAGACAACTGTTAATATATACTTGTATCTTTTGGATCATGGCTTTTGTAGTTTTACAAGTTTCCACTATATACAGAAGTACTGTCTTGATATTTGTATTGAAAATTCTGACTTTAGTGTTGGTTGATAATTGTTTTTAGCCACAGATATTGTTCAATTGTAGAAATGCTGCCTCTGCTTTGTCCATCCGCGTCTTCACATCTGCATCAGACCCACTTTACTCATCAATGAGGCTGTCCAGATATGTAAAGTTTTTTACATTTTCCAAATCTTCACCGTCAAGTGTAATTTGGTTGGTGCATGTATTGATGTATCGTATAATCTTGCTCTTTCCCTTGTGTATGTTGAGATCTACTGCTGTTGGGGATACTGCTATACTGATGGGAAAGGGGCTTTGTAACATGTACTAATATCTTTCGAGACCATATGGCTTATCCCAGCATTTGAACAAACCAATTAATTCATTCTTTTCTAGTCATTATTCACATGTCTTTTTGACCTTGCCAATTATTCGCTAACAAACTTAATCGCTTATTTTTCGGGTATGTTTACATTGCTCACTTTGCTTATCACGTATCTAGCTTACTTTTTTATTTGAAATGTATAGCTCAAATACGTCACATTTTTCAGATCAATTACTTCTTCTGACTGTTCTATCAAAATTTATAAAAGGGACTAATTGTTTTAAATAGCTTATTTTTGTCTGACAATAAATACTTAGTTATGCCTCATCGATGGGGTCGACCTACTCGCCTTCTCCGTTTCATGTTGCATTCTATTGTCTGTCTGCTTATGCGAATGTATGAAATACGTTTATCTAAAATAAACCGTTTTCGGGCTTTTAATAACGACCAGCGCACAAATGGGGTGTGCCCAAGAATGATAAACGGAAATCAGATGAAAGATTTATTTCATAAGTTAACATTAAGTTCGTCAGATTTTTCAGGGGTTGACCTTCTACCAGGAAAGTCGCTTACTGATCTAGAATATGCCGATGACATAGTTCTATTCGGTGAAGACGCTGACAAAATGCAGAGTCTTCTGACTACCATAAGCAACAATGCGAGCATGTTCGGGATGCGGTTTTCCCCCTCGAAATGCAAAATGTTGCTTCAAGACTGGGTTGCCTCGGCACCTGAACTAGTGATAGGGAGTGAAGTAGTCGAGCGTGTAGATCACTTCACTTATCTGGGGAGTCTCATCAGTGCTGACGGTCTGGTGACTGACGAAATCTCGGCACGGATACAGAAAGCTCGATTGGCTTTTGCCAACCTGCGTCACTTATGGCGTAGGCGTGATATCCGTTCGCTAACCAAAGGGCGGGTGTACTGCGTAGCAGTTCGTTCCGTTCTCTTATATGGCTGTGAAACATGGCCGTTAAGAGTAGAAGATGTTCGTAGGTTACTAGTATTCGATCATAGATGTTTAAGAAGCATTGCTCGTATATCGTGGGACAGCCGAGTAAGCAATGCTGTCGTTAGGAAACGAGTATTAGGTAACGATGGCAGATCAATCGATGAAGTGGTGAAACTTCATCAGTTGAGGTGGTTGGGACATGTGTTACGTATGCCTAACCACCGACTGCCTCGACGAGCTATGTTTTGTGGTGTAGGAGTAGGTTGGAAGAAAGCTAGGGGCGGTCAGACCAAAACATGGCAGAAATCCATGAAGTCCCTGACAAGTGGACTGAGTCATGTTGGTAGATGTAGAATACCTGGTTGGGGTCCGCGAGACGAAAGTCATCAATGATTAGAGACCTTGAACGACATGGCTCAAAATCGTTTGCAATGGCGCAGGTGCATCCACTCTTTGAGCTCTCTGAAATCCTAATCTTCTGGATTAGCCAGCACCTCTACCTTTGTCTTTCTAACCTTATCTCACTGAATTATATTTTTTGAATAATATCTTAAACCCTAGTCTTCTTTATTATAACATTAATACCTCTACTATCTTTATCACTATGGGATTTGATTTGACATTTGCGTCACTGTGCTAATAATGTGGTATGGCAACATGAACTTATGTACATACGTACGAAGTTCTACGTTGCAACTGACTGACTGACTGACTGACTTTATTTCATAAGATATTCAATCGTTCATCTAAATTGTAGCCACAGAAAAAAAATATTCATGTACAGAAACAAATCTAACCTCTAATTTCCAATTCCTTGGTGCTAGCGAATGTTCTGAAGCATCAGCTCGTCTTAAATAAGCTAAAGTATATGCAGTAGGTATTAATTGTAGACCTAAATCAACTGCTATCCAAGCATGTGTTTCATTCTCCATAACAGTAGAAGCCGTAGAAAATGAAGTATGACTTGGTTTTTGATTAGACACCGATTTCTTGCCTCGATTTTCATTTTGATTTGATACATTGGAACAACTCATACGTTTTGGTTTAACCACTACTCCTATTCCACTACCTCTGATTGTATAACCACCGACTAGAGCTCCTGCTTGAGGTCCTAATACTGAAACCGCTCTACCTTTAACAGGACTACTTGTTGATGCAGCTATACTAATCAATCCAACAATGGCTGGATTAATCCAATCTTCTAAAGGATGACGATTACCATTCGTTGCAAGCCAGTCGATCACACCACCGAGATAATCAGCTGAACTATTTCCCGGTGGAGGAGCAGGAAAGTAGAAACCGGTGTTAGAATCAAAACTGTTAGCTAAATGAATCTGACTCCATAAACTCAGATCATGGCGGGAACATTCATACCTGAAAAACGGTTGAACAAGAACAAAGAGCAATATTAGAATGTGAAATACCAAAAATAAATATCCAAAAAACAGAGATCAATGGTGGCTAACAGTGGAATCTAGGACATTTTAATTAGGAATCATTAGTCGGATGTACTTGAATCTTAGAGTTGATATCAACTTCAGGACTCGGACCCAGTATCAAAAGAGAATGGTCAGGGGAAAATTCAAACAATCAATACAAATCTCCAATAAATTCGTTTAGGAAATAAATCGGAAATCGATGAAGCACAAACCTTGTTATAACAAATCAAATGACCCATATCACAAGATACTAACACTAAACATAAATAAACTATGAAAGAGAAATATTCGTGAAATGAATTATTTGCATTTCTCTTTTACAATGGTAAAATGAACAAAACTTACAAACACCTTTGTTACCATATAACTACTACTGATCTGAAACATTATACTAGATAACATGAAAGCCAATAAATAATACGTGATACTCAGTGTACTGTGCTAACTAACATAAATTGTAAAACGTATTTTGAAAAAAAAAGAATGGAAAACTCTATTAATGTGAGAGCCACAGTTATATCAATAGCAATAAACTATTATTTTTGATTTTAAGGACAGAGAATATGAAAACAGAATTATGATTATCGCTACTGTGCAATATTCTTAACCACAACACACTGTGATTTGCATAGTTCTGATAGTAATAATAATAATAATAATAATAATAATAATAATAGTAAAAACAAGAAGCAGACAAAGAAAAAGACAATAAAATAGTAAGTAAGATTATAATAAACGAAACTATACTTTCTAAGTGTGATTTGGAGGATTATAGATTTAGAGAACATCAAGAAAAGAGTAGGCAGTAGAACGACTCAGTGTACCAAAATCACTCAATTGTCGAACATTCAAGAATCAGGTTACGAAGCTGTACAGTTTACTACTTTAGCTATAGTAGACAGGTGGAGTAAAAAAGCCAATAACACACACAGACAAAAATGCGGCTCAACACTGACTACTTAAGACTGTTATTCAGTTTTGACTGAGACGCGTCAACAACACAGCTAAAAATAATAAATATCTTCATCTTAGCTATATTAGTTGAGATTATCGCGAGTAACGTTAGACGTCTAAAGGTTGTTGTCAATTCCAGTTTCCCAACACCATCCAATGATATTTCTTGTAGTGTCTGAACAAGGGTGCCTGCAGTGCCTGGAGGATAACTGTCTGATGCCAACCACACCAAGCCTTTCTGCGGATAATCTTAGATGTGGTAGCGCCATACTTGAAGTCATTACCTACTGAGACAGAAATCCAACACCCTCCTTCCATTCAGAAAGGGCAGTGTAGCTGGAAGTGCTGTGTTTGCGTGAGATGAGCATTATAGTGCCGCCATATCAGTGAACATTCGAGAGTACAATATTAAAAGGTTTACAGCTTTCCAACCAATTTGTACGGCATGATAAGGCTTAAAGCAATGATTGTTTGGACTATATAGTTCAGTAGGGTCATGACGACAATGTAAGCTTGACAGCCACGTTAAAATAGCAGCTACGATGGATAAAATTTAGTTACAAGTAAATCAGAAAGTTCACACACTGCATCTAGTAAATTTACCTATACCTAACCACAGATTGTCTCGATGAGTGATGTTTAATGTTGGAGCAGACTGAAAGAAAGCTATGGGTGATTAAACCAAGACATGACACAAATCCATAAAGTCACTAACAAGTGGATTGAGCTACGTTAGTCGGTGTAGATTAAATGGTGTTCGCGAGACAATCGTACCCGGTGGTTAGAAACTGTGAATGACAAGGCTCGAAATCGTTCGCAATGGCACAAATGCATCCATTATTTGTCTTCTCTCAAATTCTAATCTTCGGAATTCCTCATGACCATTTTTTTACGTTTTTTTTAACTTTATTTCACTGGAATCATATCTTCAATCAATAATCTTTTTGATTACCACTAATACTTCTACTACCAATATTATATGGGATTTGAATCAACAATTCGATCTCTGCGCTAATAGGATATGTCAATTTGAACTGGTGTATGTACGTACGAAGTTCTACGTTGTACCTGACTGAATGATTGACCTGACTCGCATCTAGTAAATTCTTAGTAGTAAGGCAATGAGTGTTATCATCCTTCATAATATACACACACTAGTTTTAATCTGGTAAGTGACTGTACATGTAGTTTGTCACTGTTGTTCATTGTATTAAAATCTCAATCAAAATTAAATAATACTCTCAAAAATATGTAGAAATATATAAATCAATTCACGTACCATTGTTTTGTTGACATACGATTAAGAAAACGTTCTAATTGGCTAACTGTTGCTAAAGGGCTTACAAAAAGTAATTTGCCAGTCCAATCATTTAGTCGCTTCGATTTATTATCATTAATATTAGGCAATTTATTCTCTGTACTAGTAGTAGTATTATGATCACTACTATTATTCTTCAACTCGACAACAGATGGTGATTTTGATAACTTATCTAAATATAAAGGTAAACGTTTAGCAATTTGAAGTAGACTAGGCATAAAACATGAATTGAATTCTGGATAATCCAATAGAATAGGACAAAAACGTAACAGAGCAGCAAGCTCTTTAGCATCCATACTATCTTGAAATGGTTGTTTAACATTGATAGACACTGGATCACCATGATCTGTATAAATGCCTGGATGACAATGATTGAATGAGAAATTAATAAAATTTAGCGGTAACGATGCAGAATAACCAATTTTATTTATTAGATGAGTCGGTGCAATATAACTTAATTTTGTGTTTGTAATTAACCGATTACTACTGTTATCATTATCAGTAGTAATAGTAGTAGTAGTTGTTGTTTTTGTTGTAGATGTAGTAGTAGCGTTTTTGTCTAGTTTACGATTGGATGTGTCATGATGATTTGATGAAGTGTTTGTAGATGAAGATGATCGTAGCAGATGAGCTGCAGAAAATAATCGTAATGGAAGATGTTCTGTTAATTCAAAAGCTTGAACTAAACGTCTAACAAGAAGTGATAGACTTTTTGACCTGGAATGTGATAACATATTTTGTACAAATACACGTCTTCTTTCTTGAAGATACCACAATAAAGCTGTTGCGTTATCCAATTCCATGGAAAATGTCTGTACGTAAATAGAATAATGAAATACACGAAATAACATCAGGATGAAAATCAAAATATAGTATTTAACAACAGAAGTAAAATGTGATGGAGAAAAATATTCCAACTCAGTAAGTAGTTGAAAAGTATCCTAACTCCTTGAAATATTTACAAGCCTTCAGGTTAGATACCATTTTGAGTGGACGCAGATTATGAAAAAAACAGTTGTTCAATCAACGGTTTTACAGATGATTTCTTTTCATTTAACAAGGACTAACTCTTAAAGTATACAGTACTCAACAAAGTATACTATAGATATAATTTTATGGATTAAATATAAATATTTAAACAGAAGAAAACTTCCACTCAAAAACACATAATATTCTTTTCAAATAATGATCAGGTTAGACTCAAAAATATAGATGTGAAGCGGTGGATGAATAATTAAGACACACGTCTTCTAACCACTAAGTTGCCGGTTCCAACTCAACTTTCAGTTTGGTCAATGATATGACATCACTAGTTTTCCTAATTAAAGTACATTTTCAAGCTATAAATACACAAATAGGTACCTCTAAATGAATGATTAATAATCATCTGCATAGAAAACAGAGGGCAACAAAACAATAAAAACTTACATGATTATGCCAACGATTAGCATGTGCAACGGATAAGCATAATAATAAAACTTGTATTAAACCACTTGTAGTCAATTCATAGGCTGTCATTGTTTGTTCACCTTCATTTAATAAATCAGATAAATTTTTAAACGCATTCGATAATTTATTCAATGTTACATTGAATGAATAATCTTTATCAGTGCTAAATATATGCCATATTTGCATAACTATCAGTTTAATTCTATTCAATGCATTGATCGAGCCAACTTTATCAATAATCACTGATGATAATGATGATGATGATGATGTATGGATATGTGATGAGGAATCAGAATCAATTTGTAGCTTCTCTAATAATTGATTAGCTAAAGTTAACATAAGAATCAGACGTTCAACAGCTAACTCTGTTCGTGAATCATCATCACTGATAAATAAAGTAAGAAAAATAAAGAAAGACGGTGAAAATAAAAGAAAGAAAAACAATTTCTTTAGATCAGAAAAAGTTAACAGAGTTTGAAAATTTATATTTTATCCTTTCTTTTAATTGAATAGTCAGAAAATATATTTTCATAGAATAAAATCTGTGAAAAAATCGGTTCATCCTTAATGGTAATGATTATTTGTCAATAAACTCTAACTACAAATTGCAGAGAGAATAAAAGAAAATTCTCCATGATTCTAATTGGCATCAACAGTAATATAGTTGTTGGGGACATGAGATCCTCAGACCTCACTTGGAAAAGGTCCTAATTTTGTAATTCTATGCTGAAATTTTGAATTTCCATGTTTTCGCGCTGAAAACGCTTAGTTAATCCTCAGCTTACGTTTCCCACTCAGAAAATCCTTGACTGTCATTGCTTAATGGATTATTTTAGTACACTATTTTGCGGCTATCACGAAGGGCGTTTTATCATTGTATAAATAAACTTGAGTTGTGCTTGTACACCTCGTATTTTCTGGGTGCCTGTGAAACATATTCTCTATACGTCTTATCAAGACTTCTTCCTCTAGTTAGCGGAGTCTGAGACAATCGGATCAGAATAGCCTATCGTGTCACCGGATAGTTGATTTTTTTCTGTTTGCCGAATAACGTGAACTCGTAGTCAGTCAGTCAGTCAACTCGTAATGGCTGCAAGCATATCCAATCATAAACAATCAATAAGAATTTACTGTTTGAAAACGGAATAATATCCTCAATGTAACAGCTAGCCCCAGGTAACAAGTATATATTAACTCAGTCAGTCAGTTGTAACGTAGAACTACGTACGTATGTACATAGGTTCATGTTGCAATACCACATTAGCATACAGACGCAAATGTCAAATCAAATCCCATAGTGATAGAGATAGTAGAGGTATTAATGGTAATGAAGAAGAATAGGGTTCGAAGATATTATTCAAGAAGTATAATTCAGTGAGATAAGGTTAGAAGACAAAGGTAGAGGTGCTGACGAATCCAGAAGATTAGGATTTGAGAGAGCTCAAAGAATGGATGCACTTGCACCATTGCAAACGATTTTGAGCCATGTCATTCAAGGTCTCTAACCATCGGTGACTCTCGTCTCGCGGACCCCAACCAGGTCTCCTACATCTACCAACATGGCTCAGTCCACTAGTCAGTGACTTCATGGATTTCTGCCATGTTTTGGTTTGGCCGCAACTAACTTTCTTCCAACCTACTCCTACACCACAAAATATAGCTCGCCAAGGCAGTCTGTGGTTAGCCATACGTAACACATGTCCCAACCACCTCAACTGATGAAGTTTCAATACTTCATCTATTGATCTGCCATCGTTACCTAATACTCGTTTCCTAACGACAGCATTGCTTACTCGGTTGTCCAACGATATACGAGCAATGCTTCTTAAACATCTATGATCGAATACTGGTAACCTACGAACATCTTCTACTCTTAACGGCCATGTTACACAGCCATATAGGAGAACGGAGCAAACTGCTGCGCAGTACACCCGTCCTTTGGTTAGTGAACGGATATCACGCCTACGCCATAAGTGACGCAGGTTAGGGTTTGAATGGACAACACTGGATAGGAAGATATCATGAGAAGACATATAGGAAAACGGTGAGAGATATGCAAACCTATATGCTTTCAAAAAACTGGTTATAGGCTGCACCATATTCCCAAATCGATCACATCCGCATCGATAAAAAGTCCAGAAGGACCATGGGGGGAAGTAGGAACTAAGAGAGGAGCTGATATAGCTTCAGATCACCACCTGGTAGTGACGAAGATGAAATCGAAACTCAAGAGGCACTGGACAACTGGTCGAACAGCATCATAAAACTTGAACACGAACTTCTTTCGGCAGGCTGGCAAACTCAATGGATTTGAGATAGCTCTCTCTCTCTCTCAAAGCCTTTCATGACAGACAAGGTTGCTTACTTTCACACTTCCACTTTCCCCCTATTTAAAACAATTAGTCCCTTTTGTAAATTTTGATAGAACAGTCAGAAGACGTAATTGATCTGAAAAATGTGACGTATTTGAGCTATACATTTCAAATAAAAAAGTAAGCTAGATACGTGATAAGCGAAGTGAGCAATGTAAACACACCCGAAAAATAAGCGATTAAGTTTGTTAGCGAATAATTGGCAAGGTCAAAAAGACATGTGAATAATGACTAGAAAAGAATGAATTAATTGGTTTGTTCAAATGCTGGGATAAGCCATGTGGTCTCGAAAGATATTAGTACATGTTACAAAGCCCCTTCCCATCACTGTAGCAGTATCCCCAACAGCAGTAGATCTCAACATACACAAGGGAAAGAGCAAGATTATACGATACATCAATACATGCACCAACCAAATTACACTTGACGGTGAAGATTTGGAAAATGTAAAAAAAATTTACATATCTGGACAGCCTCATTGATGAGTAAGGTGGGTCTGATGCAGATGTGAAGACGCGGATGGACAAAGCAGAGGCAGCATTTCTACAATTGAACAATATCTGTGGCTAAAAACAATTATCAACCAACACTAAAGTCAGAATTTTCAATACAAATATCAAGACAGTACTTCTGTATAGGGCGGAAACTTGTAAAACTACAAAAGCCATGATCCAAAAGATACAAGTATATATTAACAGTTGTCTACACAAAATACTGAGGATCCACTGGCGAGACACCATCGGCAGCAACCTAATGTGGAAGAGAACAAACCAATTGCAATGGAGGGGGAAATCAGGAAGAAGCGCTGAAGGTGGATAGGACGCACATTGAGGAAAGCAACCAGCTGTGTCACTAGACAAGCCCTCACTTAGAGTCCTCAAGGTAAAAACGAAGAGAGAAATACCAAGAAACACTTTATGCCGGGAATTGGAAGCAGGCAAAAAGAATGAACAGCAATTGGGTAGAACTAGAAAGGAAGGCCCAGGATAGAGTAGATTGGAGATTGCTGACCCGCAGCTTATGCTCCTTTGGCAATAACAGGCATAAAGTTATTACGTAAGGCACTACCAGACTTCTCGTTCTTCATGTAAACTTTGCACTGTATGCTTACATAAAAGCCTTCTTTCATCGTCAAACAGCCGGTTATTCGGAGAAGACCGACGTACCTCAAAGAGTTGTAATGAGCCTGTAGAAACCCAATGCTTTCAAACAGGATGTTTCACGAAGCTGCAAGAGACTTTACTCGCTATTTTCATGGCTTCGTGTAATTGGAACCACTGCTCATCTATACTTTTTAATGGGTCGATAAATAGCTTACACATGAACGCGGTTTGATATTTAGTTGAGACAGAAGCTACAACTAATTTACTCAAATCAGCTCGTTTGGAACGATGAATTTGTTGGTCACTGAAACGTAATATAAGACTAGTGGAAACAGGAGTATGATCAGAATCTAGATAAGTGCTCCAAAAGAGGCAGTAGTCTGGTACACGACCACGCCAGCGGTTGTTGATCGCGATGTGATCAATCTGAGTTCAGGCTTGAGAGGTAGAGCGAGGACTCCAAACTGCAAATCGGAGATGACTATGCCAACACTTAGTGCTAGCCAGAAATAGGTTGTATTCTGTTCAAAGGTGCAGTAGATGATTGCCGTTATCTGACCTGTGATCGACAAGTGTTTATTGGCCACTCAGTGTCTAGACGCCCGACCTTTGCATTCACGTCTCCGGCTAGTAATGTCTGTTGAACGCACTCTCTGGAGTTTCTCAGTTCGTTTGATAAATGAGCACTGCATGTAATATCATAATATTCACTAAGGATATCAATGCAAGCTTTAACTTTCGCTTCATTTGTTTTTTTCCCGTCCAAGAGGTTGCAATTCGCTACAATGACGCATAAATAGCGGACATATGTAGATAGCTTCAAATGAATAAAATTAAATCCCCAGTGAAAATGATGTTTTTAAATGCTACAATTACCTATTTAATCAAGGAAAGTGCTCAAAAATACTGGATATTGTAACCTATTTGAACATTGAAAAAAGATAGTTATCTACACATGTAATGCGGTTAAAACGTAGTTATAAAATCTACTTACTCTTCTGGGCGTAATAACACAACTAATTGACCACTATTATATGTTTCATGGATAAGTTCATTTGGAAAAAATAATTTATCAATTCTAGACAACTCCATATCAGTAGCTGTTGTAAGTGATTGGTCAGTTTTATTAGATTTTTCATTGTCATCCTCATCCTCATCATCATCATCATTATCATCATCGATAAACTGTGTTGTGATATCATTTTTATGCGGCGTTGTTTCAGATGATGTAGTATTGCAAAAATTTAAATAATCCATGCCCAAATTCAATGAATCTGAATTAATCAATGAGTCAAAATCAAAAATTTCCGGTATACTCTGAGAACAAATGGAAGTGCCATATACACTAGGCATAGTAGTTGTATTAATAGTGATACTACTTACGCTACTACCACTATTAGTAATAGCAGTAGAAGGAGTAGTAATAAGAGGTGTTTGCGAGATAGTCGATGGTAGATCAAGTTGTGCAAACATACTTACAAAACTTCTTGAATGTCGTTTAGTTGACTTTAATGATACATTTGGATTAGTTTGTGTTTTTGATGTTGAATCGTTTAATGTTGTATTTGTATTGACAGATGAGGTTGGTGTTTCTTTACTAATCGAAGCAACAAGTATACGTTTGAAACCACTACAAAAATTCTCTGAAAGTAACAACGCCTCATTGAATAATGGTTTCGAAGTACACAGTGGAGATGCACGTGGTTTTACAGAAACGTACGTCCCATCTTTTTGTTTTACCAGACTACAAATTACTGAACCAAAAGATACTGCAGTAGTTGCAGTTGGAAATCCACCACTTTCAGTAGAAGTAGACTGATTCGGAAGCTTTGTTGAAAATTTTGAAGTAAGAAAAACACGAGCTGGTGATGAAGCTTGACGTTGAAGCTTAGATGTATGACCTGTCAATGGTGTAGTTGCAGTTGTTGTAGTTGCTAAACTAATAGAAATAGGATCATGACGTAGACCTAAGCGTCTACGAAAACGTCGTGCATTATTACGTGAGGCTTCTAAATTACATAAATTAGAATGAGTTAGAATATTTGATTGTGTTTGTTGTTTCATGAAATCCGGGTGATTTGTTTGTTCTTGCCATTCTTCATTCTCTGCAGTTAATGAATTTTCAGTAACAGCATCTTTAAACAATGGTGTAATTGTGATATTACTATCAATAAGCTCCATTAAATGTTGATGCATACGGAGCATTCGTGATTTTAAACCTGGACATTGTAAAAACAATTAAGATATTCAAATATTATGTCTAATAAAATGAATAAAAGTTGTTCAATTAAATTTAGGAAAAGTAGAATTGAGCTGTATTCTAGAATTTTCGCGGAAATTTTCAACGAAAGATGTTTAGGTCAAGTATTTTTGGAATTTCCCTTTAGGTTTTCAAGGATATTTTCGAGAAATTTTGAATGATTCTTAACAAAACTATGCAAAATCTACTTTAATAGACAGTTTTCGATATTCTCAAAAACCTTGATTTTCACGATAACTTTGCATATTCATAATTCGGATGACTAAAAAAACATTCGTCTAGTGTTAGATAAATATAATGAAGAACACGCTGGAATCTCTCTCCCGTCTCAGGAAGCAAAAAAGTAATACAAGTTGATGACGTAAAGAAATAAACTACTTTTAGTTATGAAATGTTATGCAATCAAAGGATGAAAAACTCCAATTTTAGCTATCATTCGGTCACACCATATGATATGGTTAGCATAAGACATTACTTGTGCGTTAACATCGGACAAGCCTACAAACATATCACAGTAGAAAGCTTTGTTTGTTATGTAATCAGCGTTTAATTTAAATCATATTCAATAAAAGTATATATATTTTTTAACTAATTACACTTACCAGGACGCGGAAACGGGTTTTCACCGGGATGCAACTGCATTGGTACTGGACCGTTTCTATGCGCAGAATAATGAATACATAATACACGTAGACAACCATCCTCAGGTTGTAATTGTATTGTAATAAAGGCGAATCCATTGAAAATTGATAATAATTGACCCATACAGAAAAAATACCATCCATTCCAGTTGTAAAGTTGTGCATTCAAGTGAACACGTTCAGATACCTGAAGAAAAAAAATAATAAACTGAACACATACTGAAACGACTGAAGCTACATGGGTTGATAAAGATGAACTACAAGGGTGAGACTGAGTAAACTTTCCAGTGATTTCAACAAACTCTGAGCATATTCAGTCAACCAAAATTGAATGGCTAAAATTTAGATGCACTGTTATGGTTTCGAATTGATGTAGAGTTTAGAAGTTAAGGTGAGATTGTGAGGCTTAAGGATTTTTATTAGGTTTTACGATTATTTTATGTGTATACGAAGCTTTAACCCTAACATACTAATCTAACCCTACGTTAAAAACTATGCATTGTTATTATGCATGAGCTGAGAACCTGTTCGTCTGTTTGTTCCATGCTGCTTTTGGATGATATATTTTTCTCGAGTTAGTTGAGATGGGGTGCAGAAATATACAGCGCAGCTTATCCTGTTATTGTGTTGCTATTTATAATCTACATGCAGGGGTACCAAGGTATTATCTTTACATCGTAAACATAGTACTCCTAAACATAAATCATAAACTCTACATTCTAATTATAAAAACACAACCATAACTGATGATTTTAAACTATACATTTTAACCCTAAAGTTTGAATATTAGTCCTAATCCTAAATTCATGTATCTTGTGATAATGTTGTCGTTAAAATAAGTTAATTAGTCAGTCAGTTAAAACGTAGAACTTCGTACATGAGTACATAAACTTAGGTTGCCATACCACATTAGCACAGAGATATAATTGTCAATTCAAATGCCATAGTAGTAGAGGTAGTAAAAATATTAGCAGTAATTGGAGAGATTAGAGTCCGATGATATTTCTCAAGAACTAAAATCTAGTGAAGTAAACTTAAAAAGAAAAAGATAAAGGTGATCAGAAACTCCGAAGGTTAGAATTTGAGAGAACACACAGAATGAATGCACCTGCGCCATAACAAACGGTTTTTGAACCGTCATTCAGGGTCACTAACCATCGATAAAAATATTCACCTGAGTCTAATTATCCTTAACACAATCAATGAGTGAACAATCACTCCATGAGATCATCTTTTTATTATCGACAGACGACAAACTGTTTAAAAAATTTGAAGCGATTTACACGTTCATCATCACGTTCATCACTTTTATATAGTTTAATTTCACTAAATTAGTTGGACAAAAAAATGTCGAGTTTATTTTATGAAAATCAAGTGTCTATGAAGATGACAAGTCAGAATATATAATATCAAAGACAATAATATAATCAAGAAAAATCGCTACAGAATTCTGTATTACACGTAAAATTTTAAACATTTTATCATGGTTATATAGAAACATAATGTATTTCACAATGTAGTATTTAAACAATCTTCATTTCAATGATCGATAGTTGTTTTTCACCTTAACCAACTATAAGTTTATTTTGATTTTAGTTCGAATTCCTTTCTTCTAGTGAAATAAGATAAAACTCAGACAATTATACTAAATAAACAATTTAACATAACTAGACAGCATTGAAATCATGTGGTTTTATGTTGAATTCAAAATAATTTGTAAACAGTAGATAAACATGAAGTATATTTTCACTGTTCTTTAACTGATACTTCTTCTTCATAGAAATGATTGATAATAGTAAATGATCAACTAGCAAGTTATTTAAGATTATCAACAACGAATACTTTTTATATAATAATAGCACAATGAAGAAAAGAAAAGATTCGAGACGAGATGATGAGTGATGATGATGAACAGTTCATCATATGATCTCACTCGACCTGTAGTGTTCGAATAGAGAGCTTGTATAAGGTTAATGTACTTCTTTGGTACACCTTTCAATGACAGACACTGCCACACAACCTCACGATCCACTGAGTCAAATGCCGCTTTTAGGTCCAGGAACACAACTATTGTGGGACGCCTAAATGTGTGTTCCGAAACCTGTCGTAGTGTGAAGATGTGGTCTACACATCCACGTCCAGGTCTGAAACCAGCCTGGTTTTCTCGAGTCTGCTCTTCACGAGCTTTCGTTTAGTGTTGGAGTATTATTGAGGCTAATATTTTCGACACTCTATCAGTTAGACATGATCCTCCGTGACAGTCACAAGAGTACTTTCGTCCTTTCTTATAAACTGAAACAATCAGTGATTGAGACCAGTCAGATGGGATTACGTCAAGTTCCCAGATTCTACCTAAGATCTCAGTCAATCTTGCTTCTAAAACTGGACCACCATCCTTATAAATCTCAGGGGTCAATCTATCAGGGCCCGCTGCTCGCTCTCGCTTTAGATTTCCTATCGCTTTCTCAACTTTATAAAGAGTCTGGGGACTTACGTCGATTCGCCATTCAGGATGACTGGAGATCGTGAGTAAACGAAGTGTGGCTGAAGGCCAGTTGAACTGATCACGAAACTGTTCTGCCCATCAGTCCAGTCTCCTGGATTGAGAATGGATAATAAAAGCATCCTTTTCCTAAATAATCTCACTCACATTTGTGTTCCTAATACCAGTTTCCTTGATGAGTCTCAATAATTGTCTACTGTTGCCTATCGCCGCTGCCTTTTCCATCCCTCTCACTTTCGAAACCCGCCACCGTTCTCGGTCATGGCTTTTTATCAGCCTGCGCCTAAGCTGACTCCGCTCCTCGTCGCACTCAGAGCCAGGTGGGATAAGTTTTCGAGCATCCATCAGTTCAGTAGATGCTACTGAGATCCACGGCTTCTTCCTAGACTTATGGTTTACCTTACTAGCAGATATCACTGCCGTTTCCACAGCTTTTTTGGTATCATTCCAACCTGACTCCGGAAGGAAATCACTTACATGTTTGCCTAACTCTCTTTCTAGTTGTTCCTGGAATATTTTCTTAGCCTCATTATCATTAAGTAGAACCCTAAGAGGTTTCCTTGCGGTGTTTTTCCTACTCCCAATAAACCTCAAACAAATACGCTCTCGCACTAGGGCATGATCTGAATCTAAACATGTGCCCCAGAACAAGTGGCAGTCCTCTATCGAACTCCTCGATCGGTGGCTGATGGCGATGTGATCTGGTTGGGTCCAATGTTGAAAAGACTTCGGGGGTCGCCAGGTCAAAAGATGCTTTTCCTTATGCCTAAAGTTAATGTTTGCTAAGAATCGGCGGTTATCTGAGCATAGTTGCAACAGACGGTCGCCATTGTCTGTTCTCTGAGCCGCGACACCATAACATCCACCTAGGTGTCTTTCACTTTCACTCAGTCTACCTACTTGAGCATTAAAGTCACCAGCCACTATTACTACATCAGAGTGACTAACTGATTGGAGGAGGTCCGAAAGCTTTTGCAGTCAGTGGGGGCATAGGCAGATACGACGAAGAGGCAACGGCGAGTGTCCCTATCTTTCAGAGTCCTTACTGTCCCGTTTAGTCGGACCGCGCACAAGCGACTATCTACTGGAATCCAGTCTAGGAGAGCTAGTTCTGCCCTACGACTCAAATTTCAAAATAGAAAATATCTTGTTCTAAAGGCTACCTTTCCATTTGACTAACTTTTGACAAGAAGGATTGTAGCTAGTAGTGAAATGTAGCTGAGTGTGCCAGCATTCTGGTGTTGGCGTTTACATCACGACTCAAACTTGCTGCCTTTCGCCAACGTGCTGTTTACTGACCAACGGAGTGTGGATAGCTATTAACTCGCTTGATGTTTGTGACGTCAAAATCAATACCAAAAAGTGTTTGAATCATCCCACTGCCGATATTCAGGACCGAGTTTTAATCAGTCGTTGTTGATGTATATCTGGCGTGGTTGTAGTTGAATAATGAAGTAGTGCTCTTATTATTCAAAAGGTCATATACACAGTAAAACGCAAGACACCATATACTTACTACTTATTGGAGCGATTGCATATAAGTATGAAAACTAAGTACAATCACTAAGGTACACTTACACAACAACAACAACGTAACACACGACATTCTACAATAATAATGATTATAAAGTAGTGAAAATGCTATCTAAAAGAAGTACAGTCGTCAGCTAGTATTACTTTTTCTTACCACTACCGATTGATTACTAATTAATAAATACATGAATATTTTCGAATGAAATTTCGTATGGTTAAATACAGTATGATCATATGATATAGGTTTGACTGTTCTACTATAGAATAACCCATGATGTTTATGCATCCATCATGCATTTTTAATCAATGCCGATAAAAAATTTTTATTAAATAACAATTAAACAGTCTCATACTGGAAATGAACTAATAACAAGATGTAATATTTATTATATCAGTCAGTCAGTCACTTACAACGTAGAACTTCGTACGTAAGTACATCAGTTCAGGTTGCCATACCACATTAGCACAGAGACGCAATCGTCAATTCAAATCCCATAGTGGTAGCGATAGTAGAAGTATTACTGGTAATGGAGAAGATTAGGATTTGAGGATATCATTCATTAAGTATAATTCAGTAAGATATGTTTAGAAAGACAAAGGTGAGGTGTTAACGAATCCAGATTAGGATTTGAGAAAACACAAAGAGTGGATGCACCTGCACCATTGCAAACGGTTTTGAGCCATATCGTTCAGGGTCTCTAACCATTGGTGACTTTCGTCTTGCGGACCCTGACCAGGTAGCCTACATCATCATTGATCTGCCATCCTTACCTATTACTTGTTTCCTAATTTCAGCATTGCTAATATTTATGATATTCAACACTTTTAATCAACATAGATATTTCTTATTACTGTAGTAACAATATACGTTACAAACTCATTCCAGTTTGTACATTGATAACAACAAAATGACTCAATGACTTCAAAATGCTTCTATAGAATACTAAACCGGACAAGAATTCATGTTTATTTATTGCTAACTAATAAGTACAATGTTATTTAAGCCTATAGAACTACGGAAAGTGAGAAATCAACATCCTTAGGGATGTTGGTTATGTATGAGCACGATTAAAAGCTTCAAAAAAAATAAACGTTTCAACCAACAGAGCTTCATCATCTCATCATGATAGATAAACCGAACCACCATGTCAATATATCAGTTATGATCGAGAACAAGGAAGTAATGTTATTTAAATATGAAAGGCTAGAAAGATAAAAGTCAAACTAATTTCAAAATTTGTACTAGTCTTACTTGTTGATTTGAAGTTTAACAAACGTTAAGCGAATAAAACTTACAGAAGTAGGAGGCGACAACGATTGTTGTTGTTGCTGCTGCTGCTGATCTTTTTCTTCTTTTCTTGGTGCACACAAAATTTCAGACATGTAACTCTCACCTTCATTCAAATTGATATTCATCAGCTTGTCAAAAACTCCTTGCTCTTCAACAGTTTTAGATGATTTCGGTTTATTTTCAGTGTCAATTGTTTCCATATTCTTGAATGATAAATGTTCTTTTATGAGTTCCGTCGCCTTTGAACTTGTGGTAGTAGTAACAGTAGTAGTAGTGGTGCTCGAAGCAGAAGCAATTGAAGGTGTTATTGATGCTGCGGTAGTAGTAGGAGTGGTGGAAGTCATGCCGTTGGTGGTAGATGTTCTTGTATCAGTGATTATCTCAGTGACAGAAGCAGCACATACATCTTTTCCCTCGTTTTCGTCTGATGATGTTGATGATGATGGAACAGAAAACCGCTGTCCAGCATTAGTTGTAGTTGTAGTTGTAGAAGTAGTGATGGTAGTAGCGGTGACGCCGGACTTATTTTTCATTATTAATAAATGATGTAAAACATCAACTATAACTTGTATCAGTGGGATTAAGCCTAAACGATAGAATACCAAAATGTAAATATGTGGTGTTTTATGCAGTAGACGAAGACTTAATTCTAATGCCCGTGAAATCAATTCTTCTCGTTCCTGAAAAATAGTTGCCAAAAACGATAAAAAGAGAAAACGAAGATTAGAAAAATGAGCTACTTTATGTGCATAACTATATGACGGTTCACTGAATGGGGATATCAAATTCACTTAGGTCCAAACGACGTAGGGCTTGGCGAGAACTTGAATTAGTGGTATTGAAATGAAAATGTATAAGATAAAACCTGAATGCAATTGTACTACGCCAACTGCTTCGAAACCATGTCAGTTAACATCACCAAACTATAGATTATGATGACTGCAAAGGATCCTAACCTGAAAGTCTGTAGCTATCGAAACACAGATTTAATCATCAATCATTGACTTCATAGGCTGATATTACGTCATCGTTTGGCTATATTAGACTTTCCACCAACCCATGACACTTCAGAATTCTTAAAGAATCTTACCTATTATGACCTCAATCAAATAACAATGACATTCTATGAATCATGATCAAAGAGATTACTTGTGAATAGTTCTGAAGAAAAGAATGAGATAAATAAAAATTAGGACAAAACAGAAATTTTTATCTAGTTCTTTTCCTGGTAGTCGAGTAGTATAGTACTACTGACTGTACTAATTGTATCATGATAATGGACAGTTATAATTACTGTTGCAGTTAGTCTGGTTTAAATCTTATCTAAATTGTCTCTTAGACAATATTACTGATATACTCCGTCTTCTATCTAGTTACCTAACACAGATTTGTGTACTCACTTCTCCGCTATATTGTTTTCTGAAAGGCTGGTGATAATACCTACATCGAAAACAGAACAATGGTGACAGAACGAGAATGTAAAATGGTATATGGAAAGATAAATAACAGTAAATTATAGCAGTTGACATTGCTATTGGTAAAGCAACAAGAACGACGATCAACTGTAACGTTTATCATGACAAAAGTAGAACAAGATGCGGGTAAAAACACAAAAATAAAATAACGTACTTCAATTAACACAGTATAGATCATTTGTGTTAATGAGAATGCGAATGGTACTGATTGATTAACCATTAAACTAATTGTCTCTAAATGATCAGGTCGCATATACTGAATCATACGCCAAACTAAAAGTATACATTGATGTCTGTGAACATCAAATAAATAAAAAAAATAACGAAAATAATGGAACCATAAGATGTACTTTACACATGTAGTTTAATGAAGAAGAGATGTAAAATTCAAACTCATTTATAATGTAATAAGTAGTTGAATATTCAAACAGTAATTTAGATATAGTTAGAAACATTGTCTAGAAGTGCCCATAACTAAGATGATCAAATTTAAACAAATCGATCAAATTACTAGAGAAGCCCACTGAGAAGTCCAAAAAGACGTATAGTCGAAAATAAAAGTTTCTTCACTGATACGTTTTCTTTTTTTTTAATTTGACGAAAATAAAATCCTGCACAATCAATCTAGGACAGCAACAAACTGTCTGAATTTACTTACAAGTGTAATAACTCACATTAATCTCAAAATAATCATTTGTAGTAGTGAAAATACATCAAATTCTCTAGTTTATTGGTCATAATACACCGGTAAGTCCTAAAAGTAATAGACATTTGAAATTCGAAAATAATCGTCCCATGTTGCTACAATATTGCGTAAACCATCCGCTCTGTTCGAAACTCAAGATGAGTCTGTTATAATGACGTAGTAATGACAGCAATGTATCATACAGTTTCGATATGTGGTTAGTACAATTCAGTGTCGCTGAGCACTGAATGTGTAAAAATAAACAACAAGCTTACTGAATATTGGAACTTCCATCTAACAGTACTTACTGTGAACAATTGTAGAACAAACACATAAAAATAGCTTGTGGTATTAAGTACAATTATATGGTAGGATAAACTTTTGATCGGCAAGCAGACATTCATAACATTACCTAACCTAACAAATAAGCAACACCAGTTGATTATATAATCAATTAACACAACACACCAATATTCTGGTATTAGATTTTTATTTGAAATGTTTTAAATGATTTATTGTTACTTTTATTATTAACTTAGTTGCAGGTACACATTAGTATACTTGGCTTAGAGTCACACTTCAGTTTTGAAGGCAACTGATACTACTCAGTTGCTTAAAAGAAACAGGAGCGACATTTGAATCTGTGACTAAGTGCCTGGATATTCAACAGGTCAACCATTGAACAATCTACTCTTTTATCTTTCCTACTGCATGCAACAGCTGAGTTTCTAAAAAAGAAATATCACTATCTTCTTACACTAATCATAAAATGACATAATTTTAGAAAATAATAACATGTTACTTGTACACTGTAAACACAAAACAAAGCTTCATTAAACTGTAAATTTTAAACCTTGAATCTATCAGCTGCGTTCGGTTTGGGCGGAGAAAACTATTATGAAAAAAAATATGACTCAAAATTATGGGCATACATTTCTACCTGACAGCAGTAAAAGATCTCAATTACCATGATTTAACATTTTGAAAATACTGAATAATAGTAGTGATGATATTTGAACAATATAGTCAATTAAACTGCTTCAATAAGTGAATTAGCATATTTTTAGTTTACAAGAAAAATACTGCATAAACTACCTTACAGAAGAAGATGTGCTTTCCTTAAACAACCCAACTAGCAATGGAAGCAGTTGATAAACAAATAAACGTTGGGCTTCGGCAGGATCACTCGACTGAATTTGATCAGTTTGATGTTGATGAAGTGATACAGAAGATGATAGTGACGGTGTAGATGATGAACCAGATGTTAGCTGCCTGTCAGATTTATCTAACTTCGATGACAGACCTCTAAAACAAGCTTCTAAAAGTGATATATATATAAAAGATTATAAATAAGGATATGTTAAAAATATTACTTTTATTAAGAAATACATCTAGTTTGTGAGCGTCATACATATAAAATCACCTGAATAAATTGATGAGAATTGTGTGCTAACTAACTAATTAATTTTTAGCACATCACATATATTTCGTACTTTTATCATTATCACTATGTTTAAACAAATATTCATTTCATTGTGACTTAAGTATCGCCTAAAGTGGTATCATTATCGGAAACAGGAAATAAAATTCAGCATGTAAAGTATGATGGTTTTAGTTTACTAGACGTAGGAAAGACACCGCGAGGAAACCTCTTAGGGTTCTACTTAATGATAATGAGGCTAAGAAAATATTCCAGGAGCAACTAGAAAGAGAGTTAGGCAAACATGTAAGTGATTCCCATCCAGAAGCAGGTTCGAATGATACCAAAAAAGCTGTGGAAACGGCAGTGATATCTGCTAGTAAGGTAAACCATAAGTCTAGGAAGAAGCCGTGGATCTCAGTAGCATCTACTGAATTGATGGATGCTCGAGAACTTATCCCACCTGGCTCTGAGTGCGACGAGGAGCGGAGTCAGCTTAGGCGCAGGCTGATAAAAAGCCTACAAACATCATTAGTATGAAAAAACTGTCCAAACATTCAAGTATGAGGATGTGTAAACTAAAACGAAAAATTAAGATTAGAATCATCAAAAAATGTACTCACTTTTTGACTCGGATTCCAATAAATCAATTACTTGCTGTGAACCAGGAAAATCCGGATGTTCTCGAGCTCTATCTATAGGTTTTCTACCTTGTACATCTTGTTTATTAACATCAGCGCCCCAAATTAGTAAGGTCTTGCAGATTTCAACACGTCCAAATGAAGCTGCATAATCCAAAGGTGTACGTACACCCAAATTCACATTTGCACCATGTGCACATAAAAGTTCAACCATAACCGGGGAACCAAATGAAGCAGCCCAATTTAACAAAGTTTGTCCTAAGTGATCCATGTAATTGACATCGATTTTACCCGACTTTAAACTGCGTTTCATAAAATCTAAAAGATGTTGAGACAATTTAAGCTTTGTTAGATTAACAAAAACATTGAAAGAGAATATTTCTATTGAAAGTTCCTTAACCAACTGTACTCACTAATGAATAACTAAAAAGATGAATTCCCTAAAGTTTTATAGAAAGCCAAAACCTGTAGAGTGAGGTAGTAACTCATTGGTCGAATTGCAATCAGATAGTCGTCAGTCAACCGCAACGTAGAATTTCGTACACACATCATTTCAGGTTGCTTTTTATCGTTCTTATCAAAAAACTGGCTACCTAAGCAAGAAGGGAAAATTAGAAGAGAAAGTCTATTTGGCTACCAAATAATATATATGCATACATATACTTATTTGTATATATACATCCATCCACCCTAAGAAATGAATTTATTTGTTGCCCAATGACATGCATTCGTCCTTCAGGATATTTGTAGCAGTCATCAAATGATCTTTCGGTTCGGCCACCATTGAAAACCAGGAAGCACCGGGAAACTTCACTATGATCATCAGTGTTCAACCACATCAAGTGTGAGATAGTAAACCATCAATGACACTGAAAGATGGTTGTCCAAGATCACGAATTGATTGAAAATAGAATTCGAAACCAATAGTTGCTGCCTCAGTGGGTTGGAGGTTAAGCACTCCAAGGGCGAACTGAAGGCTATGGGTTCGATCTTCGGTGGACTCATGGAGGTTCAGCGATCAAGAGCTATACACTTGTACAGAGCAGAGGTTTAGTAATACCTGATTTCAACTGTTATCCAACAAAGGTAAGTTCGCGGTGTAAACTACAGTCGGCGAAACAAAAGTGGCTGACTAAAAACCTAAAATATGCTATGCACTATTCGAATAACACTAGCTATGTAGCTAAAAATATGTTCTCATTTGTATAAGTCTCTTCAACTGCAGATATAACCATCGTAATGATTTAAAAACATCTATGTTATGAGACAATATAACATGAAGTAAAATATTAAAAAACACCTCATGAATTTCCATAAAATATTGGAACGCTATACCTAAATCTTGTCGTTTTATAGCTTCAATAAAATGACGATGTATGGCATCCCCTTCCCAAGAATGCTGAGACTCCGAAGGAGTTTCGCTAGTATGTTCAGATTGCGATGTATTTTGTGATTTTTCTGCATGTTCAATAATTGATACAGAGGTTTGAAATTCATTTGATTTAGATAATTGACTTTGTATTTGATTGGAAGCATCGTATTCGACAACATTTGGTAAAGAAGTATCACAGGCTTGTTCTTTTATTGGTGATGATTCCCTTGATTTCAACTGATTATTTTGAGTTTGATACAGTAGTACCAAGAGAATTTCAATCAGCCGAAGTACACTAAGAACAACTAATTCATCAGTGCTACGCTGAACAACCATTGCCAATGTCATAGCAAATTGACCATCACTAGTTAGAAGTTTATGTGTTATACTCACAGAATTACAACAAAGTGAAGTTAGAATATTGGTGACTGCATGTACTGCAACTGGATTACTTTCAGTTGCGACTGAAGAAAGACCATCACGACCATTGCCAGATGTATCTGTTGGAAAATCTGCAATGCAAAAAAACACATCAAACGAACTGAGAGAATTATTTGTGCTGAAAGGAATTTCTGTATTTGATCAATAAATAGTTCAACAGTGTGCATTCTTAAGTGAGTTCAAATCAAAGTATTAACACTTCACCTCAGTGTAAAGAATGTCTCCAAATAAAGCAGTTTTCATAGTTCGGAGTTTTGGAAGACTAATAATCTCGAAGTCAGAACTTAATTGATACAATTACTAGTAAATTAATGCAATTTATTCACCCAGTAAATGGTTAGGAATTTAGTCTTCACCCATACTTCTATATGACTGCTATTGTTATGGTCCGGCTGTCTAAACAGAAATATATGAAGGTGGATTGCAGTGAACAACCTGCCTGTCTAAAGTTATTAAACCGATTTCCAAAGGAATAAAGATTTTATGCAATTTTTTTACATTGCATCACTAGATTTTTTGGCTTTTACATGGGCAAAACTAAATTTATGAAATAACTAAAAAAAGCAAGCACAAATTAAAACAATTGATTTACTGGAGCCGGAAGAATCTATCAATTCATTATCAGCTTCCACACCACCAGCAACACGAAGGCGTTGAAGAAGACAATCGATAATATGAGAATCGGCTAGTGGACTTGGGTCAGTGCCTGTTCGTGTAAAACGAGCTACCAAATTAGCAAATGCACGTAATGCTTGATCAGCAACACCTGTTTCTCGACGGTCTAAAAGTGAACTTAAAGCATCAATCCAACTGGTTAGATTCTTGTCTGTCGGGTCTGCTCTAGTAAACAACCGTCTAATAATATCCATTCCAGCCTGTAGAACATCAGCATGAAGCAGATGTGGATAAAGACGTATATAACGCAGTACAGAAGTCAATCCTCCAGCTGTATACACTGCACCAGGTTCTCGTGTACAAATAAGCTGCAACATCTTGAATTAATAAAATAAGAATAATGTTTAGAAAAACATCGACAGTTATATTTCAAATGATAAAAACAGCCTGCCTTTAAGTTCAAACAAAGAAGGCAATCTAAAACATATTTATGCAGTTTTAAATGTGTCTAAGATGAAATCTTGATTTACTTCCTTAGAATACTCAATATAAAGGCTATCAAAAGATTTGAAATATATGAAATTGTTGGTCATCATCTAACAAAATACAGGAAGTCCGATCGATTTCGGAGCAGACTGACACAACAATTGAAAATCCAATCTAACTTTAGTGTTTGAAAAACCACATACTCACAGTTTTCAACAAAATAGTAGTGATCGAGATTCAGTTGATTCGCAAGGACAGTAATAAGCGATGTGAAACAACAATTGCTACCATGAGTTTATTTTTATGATTAGTCCGTTGCACTACAGTGATCCCTAAACAGCGGTATTGTAGGCAATAATTATGTAAATAACTTTGCAGAAAAATGTGTAAATAAAATATTTCCAGATTTAAGATACAGCGTTAATCAACCTGTCAATCCAAAGAAGCATAAACCACTAGGATGAGCAGTCTAACACTTGTTTAGACTTTTATGTACATTGGATTCGGCAGATGGATAGCAATACTATTACGACTAAATCATTCCGTACATTTTCAGCAACATGAACCAGAAAAAGCTTCAAAAGAGACTTGCTTTTATAATCTGCTGTCCAAGCTCATTACTTTTTGCAGATGTCATATCAACTGCATCTAATCTTGAAGTCATAGCCGTCAATACATTTGGCGATCGTGCAATTCGTGGGGCGCAGTCCAAGCTAACATCCAGATAGTAAGTGAGGGCTCGAGCATTTGCCTCCAAAACAGAATCGGGAGCTAAGTCATCCAAAAATATTTTACATAAAGCGGGTATGAAGAGACGAGGTGGATAGCGCTCAAAGAAAACATCAATATTGTCCGAAAAAAGAACTTCATTGCACAGTTGCTCCAATGCTGTAAGCTGTAGCTCTCTAAGTTCGTCGTTTACAGGATCTAACCATTCCAAAACTATTGCTGGGTCAGCTTCCATTGAGCTAATTTCGAAGTGAACCTAATTATAGATTAAGAAAAATATGCAAAAATTACCAATTATGGTAAGCTAAAATGGTACATGATGAATTCAGAAACGTAAACAAAGCCTAAAACCCGAACAGTTGAAATCTATGCCATTATTTTTCGACGTTTCATGACTAAAATATCTAAGCAAGTGGACAAAACAATACTTTTTTGTTTCAAACTACGGTAGCTTGTCATTCTACAAGTGAATATTTCACTTATGTAAACTATTTACAGTTAAAAATTAATACGTTTTTACTGAAAATTAACAACCTAGATAATGAAATACCAGTGTCGACATTTCGTTTTTACATTTCCAAATATGGAGCACTTAACTAATTTTCCTGTCAGCATATAATAAGCAGTATGCAGCGTACCATAACATATAAAAAACGTGGCCATGCCAGCATAAACGGTTTTAAAGTTCTAATCAATCATGTAAGCAGGACGGTTAGAACGAACGGAGAGCAAGTGAACACCAACGGAATCATCTACTCAGCTAGTCAGTCGGTCAATTAGTTACAACGTAGACTTTCGTGCGTACGTACATCAGTTCAAGTTGTTATACAACACTAGCATAGAGGGATGCAAATTTCAATTTAAATCCTGTAGTAGTACAAATACTAGCAGTAAAAAATTAGGGATCGAAGATATCATTCGAGAAGTATATCCCAGTGAAACAAATTTGAAAGGAGAAGAGAAACTGTCATGAGGAACTCAGATTATAATTTGAGAGTGGACAAGGAATGGATGCACACGTGTCACTTCAAACGATTTCGAACCATGTCAGTCGGTTACGATCGTCTCGTGGACCCCAACCAGGAAGTCTACATCTGCTAACATGACCCAGTCAAACTGTCACTAACCTCACGGATTTGTGCCATGTTTGGGTTTGGCCACTCCTAGCTTTCTTCCACTCTACTCTTACATTACACAACGTTACTTGTCGATGCAGTCGGTGGTTAGACACACGTAACACATGTCCCAACCGCTTAAACTAATGAAGATTGACTACTTCATTACTTGAGTTTCCATCCTTACCTAGTACAATACCATGTTCCTAACACTAACACTGCTTACTCGGTGGTCCCGAGATATACGAGCAACGCTCTGAAAATGCCAATGATCAAATACTAGTAATGTACGCATATCCGCTTTTCTTAGTGGCCATGTTTCAAACCCGTATGGTAGGACGGAGCAAACTGGTGCACAGCTGACTCGTCCTTTGCTTAGCAAACGGATATTTCGCCCACGCCATAAGTGACGCAACGTGATAATAGCCAATCAAGCCTTTTGTATTCGTGCCGAGATTTCATCAGACACCAAACCATCATGATTGATGAGACCTCCGAGATAAATGAAGCAGTCAACACGGTCAAATACTCCACTCCCTATCACTAGTTCGGGTGCTGATACAAGCCAATCCTGAAGCTACATTCTACATTTTGAGGAGAATCTATTCAGCTAACTGTATACAGGAAATTCCCTACGATCTACATCTCATTATAAAGAATAAGTAAGACCAAAGACTTCTTCTAATCTCATGGAAGTGAGATAGATCTTATAATGACTAATTAGTGATCGTAACCAGTAGCTAGAGGATTTGAATTACATGACTCAAAATCGTTTGAGAAGGCGTAGTTCCATCCGTTTCTCCCACTCTCAAATTCCAATATTCTGAATGCATCATAATTCCTTCAGCTGGTTTAGATTTTTTGTCTTATCCTCATATCTTAATCGCTTTTGTCACAAATGATATTGTTAATGCCTCCACTAGTTTGAGGTTTGACCTAACAAATTCATCTTTCTGTGCTAATGGAGTATGGCAACTTGAAATGATGCATGCATGTACCAGATTCTACGTTCCAAAAGACTAAAATACATATGTTATCACCTTAGAATTATGTTTTTGAGGGATAATGGTGTTATTGAGAAAGCTAAAGTGTAATTAAGCCTCTAAGGTCATGATAATGATGGGGCATTACAGCTTAACAAAGTTTGGATCATTACTTAGGCCTCGAAACGACGGACTGTGAACTCTTACTTTAGGCAATAAACCTTTGGATGTTTATTTCCAGTAATAGTAACTAATTCCAGAACAATGTTCTTCAGTAAAAAATCTTGATGCATTTGAATTAAGTGCAAAAACAAAAAGTGACTTAGTGGAATATTCCGTTGTTTGACAAAGGATCCCAATCTCCCGACCTACATGAGTAGGTGACACATGATTTCCTTTATTTCGCCCTTACTTTCCCAAGTAATGACCCTTTCGTTTTCCCAGAGTCCGCCTTTATTTCTCCCTTTTAGTTGCTTGGGCATGAGTAAACCAATTACAATTAAGTGACTGAAAGAATAAATAAAGTATTTGTAAGTCATATGAGAAATCTGGCTCTATTTTTCCCTGAATTATGGATACTACACGATACTGATAATACCCAGAGTACTCTGTGAAGACGGCTGTATAGAAGATCATATATACATACTATCATGCTTGAAATCCAATCTATAGCTTATAAGAGTTTAAATTTATCAGCTGTATTCAACATCAAATCTTTTGTTGTTTGAGTTATAAAACAGGGGATTATTATCAATAACTTCTTATTACTACCTAGAAGCTGTCGCCTCACAAATGTAACGGACACACTTGAAATTGCCGCAATGAGTCTTTTCAAGCCTTAACATTCCATGATAAGGTTAGTTGATCGCCTGACTTGTCCTAATCCTTGCAGCTCGCTCACTGATGATGATCCAGCTTATTGTTGAAACTGTTTACTTATGGGGCTAATAATGATTATTCCTGTTGGGCGTTATAGTCAGAGACCCATCATGATAAACAAAAGGTCCAATATCCAATATCTTTTACACAAGCTAGTGTAAACCAATTTCATTTCTTCGCGCTCGATTCTTGTTCTTTCGGTACGGTTTCAGGTGTTCGGTAATGTCCAATGGATGGAGGTCTAGCCACTCGAATGTCTAATTCTAGTCAGTTGGCAGTTGGTTTTGAGTTTGTATCTCTCAGGATTCGAATGAAACGTTTGTTTCAGGGCAGTAGGGTTTCTGGACACTAGCAGCCGTCACATTACCAAACCGGAGATCAGTTAGTTGCAATTTTGAGAGTAATAAGGGTAATAAAGATAAAATTCCAATGATAATATGAATAAAATTTCAGAACTGAGTAATATATAGATGAATTTATTTTATTAATTGGTAGTGAAGATTGTGAGAGAGGACCGAAGTGTAATCAAGGGAGAGGAAACAGAGATAATAGGCCAGATAGATTAATTGAGTGATCTAAGATGGCTATGGTAACAACTAGCAGGTATCAAGATATGCATCATGAACAGCTTGTCCAAGAGGGAGATAATAGTCCGTATGTGAGTACGTGATTATCAAGTCTCTTCTTAAAGCAGTCCACTGAGGGGGCTGTAACTACCTCGGCTGGGAGAGCATTCCAAGTTGCGACGACTCGCAATGAGAAAAAGTGTACACGAATCTGAGTATTCGCTCTTTGATGTGCAATCTTTCGAGGATTGCCTCGAGGGGAGTGGTGGTGATGCATCGGTAAGATGCTCACATTGGGATGTTTTGGCGTGTTTAATATGGTGTACGCCATAATCAGATCACCTCTGATTCTCCTGTAGCTCAGCGGAAATAATCCCAAGAGCTAGAGTCTATCGTCATAGGGTTTATTTTTCAAACCTATCTCCCATTTCGTTGCTCGTCTCTGCACTCGATCCAAGAGATTTATGTCTCTTTTAAGCAGAGCGGGTGCGATGACGTTGTGAACCTCCAAGTGTGGGCGCGCGTACGTCTTAAACGGGGTTAAAAATAATTTCGGGGTGATAGCATCAAGCTGTCTTCGCATAAAGTGAAGAGTCGCATTTGCCTTGGCTGCATCCCCTACATAGTTCGGACTCGTGTGGAGGCTTTCTGTGGTTATTAAACCAAGATCGCGCTCTGAGGAGACATTAGGGAGCGGACTTCCATTGAGAGTATAGGTCGCTTGCGTCATATGAGGCAGGAAATGCATGACGTCGTACTTCGGTTGGTTTAGTTTTAAACCGTTTTCCACGGCCCATTTCTCAATAGATGTAAGGTCCTTTGGAAGCTCAGTCGAATCGTCTTCGCTTCTAATGGACCTCCAGATCTTCGCATCGTCTGCGTAGATCAATGCCGGTGAGCTGACTGAGCCAAACAGGTCGTTAATAAATATCAGGAAGAGAAGTGGGCCTAGGATGGTCCCCTGTAAAACTCCCGAAGTGGATACTCTGCAACTGGCGTGCACTCTGTTTACCTTCGTGCAAAACTTTCTATTCTCAAGGTAGTTTCTGAGCCGAGACAGGAGTGGGTCAGTGAAGCCCATTTCCACAACCTTTTCGATTAGGCGTGCGTGGGGCACTGTGTCAAAGGCTTTTGCGAAGTCGAGAAATATTACGTGCACCGGTATTTTACGGTCTAAACAGGATGTCCAACTATCCCATGCGATGAGAAGATTAGATGCAAACGACCTGCCTTTCCGAAACCCGTGTTGAGCTTCATGGAGTATTTTATTCTTATCCATGTACTCCCTCATTTGTTTGTCCACTAGTCCTTCCATAAACTTTGAAAATATAGGTAGTAGGTCGTTCAAAGTTTATCACTCCTGCTAGCATGGAGGCAATGTGCCACTGATAGTATACTTCTCCGTGTCCAACGTGAATTAGGACAATCTTTCTAGAGTTAATTTCCAAACGTTTACCATCTAACTAACCCGTTTAGATCAACTAAAAGATCAAGATAATCAGCCCTAATAGTTGTTGTTCTTCATCATCATCTACGAACAAGTAGTGACAACTAAAACGGCCTCAGCAATTCATTAACGTAGAAAAGAAGAGAAGGAGATTGCAGATGGTGCCTTGGGATGCACTTCTTTTAGCCGGCTTCCATTTCGATAGTGTCTCATTAACCATTGCCTTCTGTCTTCGACCACAGAGGAAGCTTTCTACCCACTATTGTAAGAAACCTTCTCTGTCTAGCTGCTCCAAATGAGTCACTTTATCAAGTGCTTTGTCACCATCTGTGAATATCACATGGACAGCCAAACCGTGTTCCTTAGTTGTAAGTTAGTTAGGCATGTATGTTCTTACGAAACCCGTGTTGCTGAAGCCGATTGTTTGTCACTATATACTTAAAGATTGCATTTTTATAGTCCTTGGGGAGTTTATTTCAGAAAAGGAACATCCTAACCGGCGACTTATGTGTAATGACAGTAATATTGGATGTAGCTTATCAGCGCCCATGGGCTATCCTCAGTCAAAAATACTGGTCCTCAGCTGATATCTTGTTATTATAACTGCGACGAATATTATCGACAATATTGTTCCAGTAAACTTTTAGATATTACAGTAGTGTATTCAGCTAGTACTCATGAATTCTTACATAGCAGAGATGACAGAATTCCATTAACATGCCTTGTTCTTTGCTAGTGTAGGAAAACAGTCGTTCTGCGCAAGTTAAGCTGTTGTGAGCTAAATGTGCATTTTTCAATGAACTCTTTATATATATTCCAGGTTTTTATGAATCCACACTTAAATGACTCATGACATACTACTATGATCAAGTCCAATAAAGTTTTTTTAGACCGCGATAACTTGCGAATATTCCTATGAATCCTCGTGGAGTTACAAGATGGTCTGGTCGTGTTGTATGAGTAGAAGTTTATTTACAGCACACCTTGATGTTTTGGGAACCCTCCGTTACCCATATACTACACTTGAAGCCATTGTTTCCAAGACCTGACTAGCGAAAAATTTGGTATCGTATGACCTTTTCGTCTCATTGTTCTCTGTCTTTTCTAACTCGGTAAGAGCCTTCTTTTGATTAAACTGATCACTAAGTATTCAGTCTGGCCGGATTGATATATATTTGTGTGCGTTCTTTGGCTTAAACCCCCTTTCACCTTCACTTTCGAGCTAATCCGTTTGTTTGTACCATTGAGTCTTCTCTAAATGAGAGCTTTACTCTTCACATATTGCTCAGTCGCATTCCTCTCATCAATAGTGCCTGAAATATAAAGGATAATAACAGTAAGAATAGTAATTTCTCAAATAACAACATACTACAAGATGCTTGCCGATTTACAGGCCAGATCAAAATGGTAAAACTGCTAACATATTTTCTGTAAAACGTTGTTGAGTTACGTAAATATTTCAAAAGATACATTGACCAGTTATAGATGGGTGAAAGTTTTCACATAAAACTATAAACAATGTTTGGGACTCTGAAATGTACAATACGATATTTAGCACGAGCTACGGTGATTGCGTTGCGAAGAACCACTTCTGGTTAATAACCAATGCAAGGTAAATCCAATTCTGCAAACTACAAGAATAGATGAGGTAAATGTGCAATGATCTTCGTCTTAAGTTTCTCCTGATTAAAGTAACCAAGTCTTTGACAGTTATGAAGGCTAATATTTGACGAGTAGATTGACGTGCTGAAAACGAGAAAGAAAGAGAAAGGGGTCTGGAGCAGAACAGAAAGTATTCTTGTTTAAATCCAAGTCATGACTCAGCAGATAATTATTTGGATGAAACAAAGCTATGTTACGTCCAAGTTTTGCTCCTTCCTTTTTTGAAGTACGGTGTGTCGATCTATTTGCAATTCACGAACCCAAATCGACAACAAAACGAAACTCCAAAGTAGGTACCAAAGTTTATTCTTAATTCACAAATAATCGACCAAAATGTCGTTCGTCAATTACAAATAGACGACCAATGTCGTTCTAACAACAATAATTATAATAATTACAATTACCTTCAATTTTATAGGTTCCTGGAGCAAGAACCTGCAAACGAACAAAGCAAGACAAACAGGAATCCAAAATGGCCGAAAATAATAATTCAAACAAGTTCATAAGTTAAGTAAAACAAATATACCCAAAAAAACACAGTGAAATTAATGATATTTATATAAAGGTTTTAATCAGCCAAATGTCTTTAATTCTCTCGTAACAGGTATGATTACTCACACCCTTTTTTCTGCCTTAGAACACCCAATGTACACCTGCGCTTATGTAGGTTTGTGAAGACAACTCACTAGTAAGATAACGAATAGGCAAATATTCCTATGAATAAAGGAGATTCAAACGAGCTGATAGGCTGGATATTATGTTGAGTTACATATAATAATAATAAAGACACATTGATATGATGATTCTGTGACATTTAACTTCCCATTTTTTTTGCTCTGTAGCTCGAGACGTCATTAGTGAGCCTTTTTTCAACATTATTTTCCAGATCTGTTTGTAATAGGATTTTTTGGTGGTAAGAGAAACCAGTGCAAGGTCACAAACGTGAGTCATAGATGTGATTGACTAGGAAAAGTAATTACAATATCATTGATTGATTACATGCTGCTTTATCATAAGGAGCCAGGACCAAACAAAATGTTCTGCTCCGCAGGTTTGGGTAGATTGAGGTTACCGCCGCACCGTCATCAATGCTGGTCAGATACACCACCCTCCCTCAGTTGGTGATATTAGGTTCTCTTACGTTTAATGGTTTTCTAGCAAGGGCGTAATACACATTTTGAAGAGTGTAAGTTTAACCTCATTTGTCAAGAAGTTCTTATTTATATACCCCATTAGCCGTCTAGGTTTAGAGATGA